AAGCACCCCCGACAGATGGCCATCCAGCCTCTGCTTAAAAGCTTCCAAAGAAGGAGCCTCCACCACACTCCGGGGCTGATTGAAAGATTAAATAAAATAGAAATAGGTGGGAAGATGGATAGCTTTAAAGACAGGCAATGGAGGGGCTTTAAACTATAAGAAGCTATAGGAAGATAATTATAATAGTGCCACATATCTATATAAATAAAAATGTAATGTTCGTTTGTGGGATTGACAGAACTCAAAAACCACTAGAAGAATTGACACCAAATTTGGACACAAGACACCTAACAACCCAATGTATGTCCTTCACTCAAAAAAAAAATTGATTTTGTCATTTGGAAGTTATAGTTGCTGAGATTTATAGTTCACCTACAATCAAAAAACGTTCTGAACCCCACCAACGATGGAACTGAACCAAACTTGGCACATAGTTCTCCCAAGACCAACAGAAAATACTGGAAGGGTTTGGTTTTGAAGTTGTAGTTCACCTACATCCAGAGAGCACTGTGGACTCAAACAATGATGGATCTGGACCAAACACTACAGGAATACTCAATATGCCCAAATGTGAACACTGGTGGAGTTTGGGGAAAATGAAATCTTGACATTTGGTAGTTGTAGTTGCTGGGATTTATAGTTCAATCACAGAACATTCTGAACCCCACCAATGATAGAATTGGGCCAAACCTCCCACACAGAACCCCCATGTGGGCCACAGCAACGCGTGGCAGGGGACAGCTAGTAAATCAATAAATGGGGGCTTTAACAGAGAGAGAGAGCTGGGAGGCTGTGTATGTTCAGACAGAATGTCAGAATGTTGGAGCAGGAAGGGACCCTAAAAACCATCCAATCTGCCAGGTAGGAGGACACCACCTAAGCCCTCCTGACAGAGGGCCATCCAAGCAAGGGTGCTTTACTATAGGGACAAGCAGTGTGTGTTCATGTACAGAGAGGAAGGTACAGGGTGAGGTGCTTTAACAGAGAGAAGGGGTGCTTCCTCACACATCAAAACACAAGGCTTATTAAAACAACAACAACAACAACAACAGGAAGAGCCAAGCTGGGTGGGATGGCCTATGTTGGATGCCTATCCTCTAGAGTAGACCTGTCCAATCATTACGTAAGTGCCATTTCGAGGTCTTCCTCTAGCTGGAGCTCACAGTACGACGGAAGCCGCAACAAAATAAGATATATTGTTATATATGTACAATAGCATCATCATCGTTATTATTAGCAGACGTTGCTATGTTTGGAAAATGGAGCAGGACATCCTTACCTAGCGGCTAGTCCTTTGTGCCATCCCTGACTTTCCCTGATCACTTTCATGTATTTCTTTTCCCTCCCTCCTTCATTCCTCCCTTCTTTCTTTCCTCCTGTCTTTTCCTTGTCTCTTCACTGCCTTCCTCCCCTCCCCTTTTCTCCCTCCTTTCCCTCCCTCCTTCTTCTATCCCTTCTCTCCATTCATCCATGCCTTATCTTTTTAGTTTCCTCCCTTCCTTCCCTCCCCCTTTCACCCTTCTTTCAATTCCTCTCTTTTTCTCTTCCTTTTCTCTCCCTCCCTTCTTTCTTTCCCTTCTTCTCTCTGTTGATCTGTTCCTGTCTGTTCCTTATCACTGTTCCTTCCCTCCTTTCCCCTCCTCTTTCCCCTCCTCCTCCTTCTTCTTTCTCCTCTTCTTTCTCCTCTCTCTTCTTCCCCTTCCTTTCTCCCTTCTTCCTCCTACCTTCCTTCCTTCCTTCCCTCTTCCTTCCCTCTCCTTCCTTCTCTTTCCTTTCCTTTCCCCTCCCTCCCCTTCCCCTTCCTTCCTTCCCCTCATACTTCCCTCCTTTCCTACCCCTCCCCCCCCTTCCTTTACTTTCTTCCCCCTCTTTTCCTGCTTCAATCTTTCTTTTCTCTTCCCTTCCCCTTATACTTTCTGTCTTTCCTCTCTTCCTGCCTACCTTCGCTCCTTTCTTACTTCCTCCTCCTTCCTTCCTTCCTTCCTTCCTTCCTTCCTTCCTTCCTTCTCCTTCCTTCCTTCCTTCCTTCCCCTCATACTTCCCTCCTTTCCTACCCCTCCCTTCCTTTACTTTCTTCCTCCTCTCTTTTCCTGCTTCAATCTTTCCCTTCTTTCTTCCCTTCCCCTTATACTTTCTGTCTTGCCTGCCTGCCTGCCTACCTTCCTTCCTTCCTTCCTTCCTTCCTTCCTTCCTTCCTTCCTTCCTTCCTTCCTTCTTTCTTTCTTTCCTTCCCCTCATACTTCCCTCCTTTCCTACCCCTCCCTCCCGTCCTTTACTTTCTTCCTCCTCTTTTTCCTGCTTCAATCTTTCTTTCCCTTCTTTCTTCACTTCCCCTTATACCAGTGTTTCTCAACCTGGGGGTCGGGACCCCTGAGGGGGTCGTGAAGGGGTGTCAGAGGGGTCGCCAAAGACCATCAGAAAACACAGTATTTTCTGTTGGTCATGGGGGTTCTGTGTGGGAAATTTGGCCCAATTCTATCATTGGTGGGGTTCAGACTGCTCTTTGATTGTAGGTGAACTATAAATCCCAGCAACTACAACTCCCAAATGTCAAGATTCTATTTTCCCCAAAACCACCAGTGTTCATATTTAGGTGTATTGAGTGCTTGTGCCAAGTTTGGTCCAGATCCATCATTGTTTGAGTCCACAGTGCTCTCTGGATGTAGGTGAACTACAACTCCCAAACTCAAGGTCGATGCCCACCAAACCCTTCCAGTATTTTCTGTTGATCATGGGAGTTCTCTGTGCCAACTTTGGTTCAATTCCATTGCTGGTGGGGTTCAGAATGCTCTTTGTTTACATGTTAACTATAAATCCCAGCAACTACAACTCCCAAATGACAGAATCAATTTCCCCGCCAACCCCACCAGTATTCAAATTTGGGCATACTGGGTATTTGTGCCAAATTTGCTCCAGTGAATGAAAATACATCCTGCAGATCATTATTTACATGGCGATTCATAATGTTAGGGTTATGGTTGGGGGTCACCCAAGCATGTAGCCCGGGGGGGGGGGGGGGCTTGAGGGGCTTCAGCCCCCCCCCCCCCGCATCTCATGGTGGTTCGAAAATGGCATGCAGTGGTGCTATGCCTAGTACAGAAAACACAGATAAATTATTTATTTATTTATTTATTTACCTTACTTATATACTGCTGTTCTCAGCCCGAAGGCGGTTCACAACAAATACGAACAACAAAAATTCAGTGCTACAGTATAGAAACAGTTAACAACCTAACACATTACACAATTAATAAACAGTTACTACAATACCCATTCACTGTCGTCTCGTCATCAAAAACATGATCCAGATTCGTCATCCATTGTTCCATTCCAGTGTTCATTAACCAATCATTGCACTAATTATTCGAACGCCTGCTCAAACAGCCAGGTCTTCACTTTTTTGCGGAATACCATTAGAGATGGTGCTAGTCTAATGTCCGTAGGAAGGGCGTTCCACAGCCGAGGAGCCACCACCGAGAAGGCCCTATCTCTCGTCCCCACCAGCCGAGCTTGAGAAGCAGGCGGGATCGAGAGCAGGGTCTCCCCGGAAGATCTCAAAGTCCTGGTGGGTTCATAGGCAGAGATGCGGTCGGATAGGTAGCTTGGGCCGGAACCGTTTAGGGCTTTAAAGGCCAACGCCAGCACTTTGAATTCAGCCCGGTAGCAGATCGGTAGCCAGTGGAGTTGGCGCAACAGGGGGGTTGTATGCTCCCTGCGCTCCGCTCCTGTTAAAATCATGGCTGCCGAGCGTTGGACTAGTTGGAGCTTCCGAGCTGTCTTCAAAGGCAACCCCACGTAGAGAGCGTTGCAGTAGTCTAAACGGGATGTAACCAGAGCGTGGACTACCGTGGCCAAGTCATATATCCCATATGCATGGGGGTATTGGGGTAATGATACAAAAGGTTTGCTAGGCTAGACCCTCTTTCACTCAGAATCAGCCCCCTGAACCAAACTCGCCCCCCCCAAACCCCCCCTGAAAAAAATTTAGCCCCCCCCCCCCCCGAAACGAAATCCTGGCTACGGGCCTGGGGTCACCACAACATGAGGAACTGTATTAAGGGGTCGCGGCATTAGGAAGGTTGAGAACCACTGGACTAGTTTGTTTGCCAGAAGGTCATGAGGGACCTCGTCGAAGGCCTTACTGAAATCCAGTAAGATATGATTTGAGGGTGGCCATGTGCTCTTGGAGCCCGGAAAACCGAGATGGTTGTGTGGATTGTGCCCGGGGATCACGTGACGCCCAATACACACAGGGACCACACCTGGCAAGACCCGCATCTTACCCTGAGATCCGGATCTTACCCGGGGTTTAATAATTCGGAACAAACCACTCTGTTTTGATTCGGTTTTACCGGAGGTGTCGTTTGGAGGCCTCCGCTAAAACCGAGACAGGTCCCGTTTTTTGGGCCTGCCGGGACGGGCCCTATGCTTTGCATCCGGTCCTTCTGGGCCTTCCCTCCACCCACCCTCTCTACCCGCCCCCTTGCTTTGCTCAGAGGCCGGTGACAGGTTTCCTCTTGCTCAGCTCTGAGTCAGCCCTCTCCCCAAACACGCCGGGGCTTTTTGGAGAGTGTTGTGTTGCTGTGCGTGATGAGGAGGAGGAGGATGAAGATGAAGGTGACGAGGATGAGGAGGATATTCCATCCCTTTGCCGGTGGGCGGAAGACAGCCGAGGAGCCAATGGACAAAAAGATCTAAGGACGGGATTGATTCTTCCCCCGCTTCCTAACCTAAGACCAGAGACGAGCCGGAACGGAATGCATTTGCGGCCTTCTGTTCCACGCCAGACAGAGAAAGAAGCAAAGCCGCACGATGACACGAAAGCCATAGAAACAGGCAGCGACTGCAAGAAGCGAGCCGAAGCAAGCCAGGAAGCAAGCCAACCCTGATCTCCTCCATCCTCCATCTCTTCTTTTTGCCACCATCCTCCTTTTCCTCTCTCCTCATTTCCCAAAGGGACCGAACACCCACCTTTGCCTTCGTTCTTTCTCTCTCCTCAGACGACAGAGAGGCAAAAAGAGCGAGGAGACGCCGCCGACGCTGCGGTCCAGCCCTGAGCGGAGGAAGGCGATGGAGCCAAGGATGCTGTGAGCCAAACCGGCCATGATGCGTGGCGGCGGTCTCCTTCCCTTCGTCGAACATGTGAGCCACTCCAGGGAAGGAAGGATGGAGAACTGGGGATAGAAAAAAAAGGAAGTGAGCAAGAGAGAGAGAGAGAAGATAAAACCAAGAAATTCCCAGCGGCAAAGACCTCCTTTTGCATCTCTTCTTCTTCGGCCCGCTTTTGATATATGTAGGTATATTCTTTGCTATCATTTCCCCCCTTTTTTACGTTCACGATGATGGCAATCTGGTTCTTCTTTTAACATTGATGTCGTTTCCCCCCCTTTTTTACAATCATGACGATTGTTTCTTCTTTTTCTCCCTGGCTGTGTGTGTGTGTGTGTGTGTAGGCGGGCGTTCCATTTGGCCGTGGACCATGAGCAATGATTTGAGCACATGGGGGAACACGACCGGCGAAGACGTGACGGTAGGTGCCGCTGGGCCGCTTCCTGCTCGGGCTGAAACCTCCCTTCACTTTCCCCTTCCCATACAGACACAGGTGCCATACATACAGACAGACACATACAGGTGCCATATACAGATACACATACAGATACATACAGGTGCCATACATACATACAGATACAGGTGCCCATTGCCTTCTTTGGCAACCGCAAATGCCAGCTGTTGTGTTTTCTTGCCAGTTGGGTGGCGGTTATGTCAGGGTTTTTTTTTTATTTAACAGTATTTATATTCCGCCCTTCTCACCCCGCAGGGGACTCAGGGCAGGTTACAATGTACATATCCATGGCAATGCACATATACAGCTTCTGCCAACCTAGCAGTTCAAAAACATGCAAATGTGAGTAGATCAATAAGTACCGCTCCGGCGGGAAGGTAACGGCGCTCCATGCAGTCATGCTGGCCACATGACCTTGGAGGTGTCTATGGACAACGCCGGCTCTTCGGCTTAGAAATGGAGATGAGCACCAACTCCCAGAGTTGGACACAACTGGACTTAATGTCAGGGGACAACCTTTACCTTTAATAATAATACAATATTATAGTTATATATTTACAGTACATGTAATGTTACTAATAATATCACAATATAATGGTATAGTGCAATATAGTAATATATAATACTGATATGGTAAAACTATTTAAATAATGATAATAATAATGCAATAATATGCATATGAACTTCAGAGACAGACTATTACTAAATGGGTGCAGCTGGGTATTATGGACAGTGGGTTAAACCACGGAGCTGCTAAACTTGTTGACCGAAAGGTCACAGGTTCGAATCCGGAGAGCGGCATGAGCTTCCCCTGTCAGCCCCAGCTTCTGCCAACCTAGCAGTTCGAAAACATGCAAATGTGAGAAGATCAATAGGTACCGCTCTGGCGGGAAGGTAACGGCACTCCATGCAGTCATGCTGGCCAAATGACTGTGGAGGTGTCTATGGACAACGCCGGCTCTTCGGCTTAGAAATGGAGATGAGCACCACACCCCAGAGTCAGACACGACTGGACTTAATGTCAGGAGAAAACCTTTATCTTTACGTTTAATTATGGTAAAACTATTTTAATAATGATAATAATAATAATGCAATAATATGCATATGAAGTTCAGAGACAGCCTATTACTAAATGGGTGCAGCTGGGTATTATGGACAGTGGGTTAAACCACGGAGCTGCTAAACTTGTTGACCGAAAGGTCGCAGGTTCGAATCTGGGGAGTGGCATGAGCTCCCACTGTCAGCCCCAGCTTCTGCCAACCTAGCAGTTCGAAAACATGCAAATGTGAGAAGATCAATAGGTACCGCTCTGGCGGGAAGGTAACGGCACTCCATGCAGTCATGCTGGCCAAATGACCTTGGAGGTGTCTATGGACAACGCCGGCTCTTCGGCTTAGAAATGGAGATGAGCACCACACCCCAGAGTCGGACACGACTGGACTTAATGTCAGGAGAAAACCTTTACCTTTACGTTTAATTGTGGTAAAACTATTTAAATAATGATAATAATGTATTGTCAAAGGCTTTCATGGCTGGAATCACTAGGTTTTTGTGGGGTTTTTCGGGCTATAGGGCCATGTTCTAGAGGCATTTCTCCTGACGTTTCGCCTGCATCTATGGCAAGCATCCTCAGAGGTAGTGTCTGAGGATGCTTGCCATAGATACAGGCGAAACGTCAGGAGAAATGCCTCTAGAACATGGCCCTATAGCCCGAAAAAACCCACAAGAACCTAATGATGATAATAATGCAATAATATGCATATGAACTTCAGAGACAACCTATTACTAAATGGGTGCAGCTGGGTATTATGGACAGTGGGTTAAACCACTGAGCTGCTAAACTTGTTGACCAAAAGGTCGCAGGTTCGAATCCGGGGAGCAGCATGAGCTTCCCCTGTCAGCCCCAGCTTCTGCCAACCTAGCAGTTCAAAAGCATGCAAATGTGAGTAGATCAATAGGTACCGCTCCGGCGGGAAGGTAACGACACTCCATGCAGTCATGCTGGCCAAATGACCGTGGAGGTGTCCATGGACAACGCCGGCTCTTCGGCTTAGAAATGGAGATGAGCACCACATCCCAGAGTCGGACACAACTGGACGTAATGTCAGGGGACAACCTTTACCTTTACCTTTACACTCAATGCCATTTAGACATACAACATATAATAATAATCTATATAAATAAAAATGTAATGTCCGTTTGTGGGATTAACAGAACTCAAAAACCACTGCACGAATTGACACCAAATTTTGACACAAGACACCAAGCAACACAATATATGTCCTTCACTAAAAAAAAAAATGATTTTGTCATTTGGGAGTTGTAGTTCCTGGGATTCATAGTTCACCTACAATCAAAGAACATACTGAACCCCACCAACGATGGAATAGAACCAAACTTGGAACACAGGACTCCCCTGACCAACAGAAAACACTAGAAGGGTTTGGTGGGCAGTGTCCTTTGCTTTTGGAGTTGTAGTTCACCTACATCCAGAGATCACTGTGGTCTCAAACAATGATGGATCTGGACCAAACTCTACACGAATACTCAACATGCCCAAATGTGAACTCTGGTGGAGTGGGGGGAAAATAGAATCTTGACATTTGGGAGTTGTAGTTGCTGGGATTTATAGTTCACCTACAATCGCAGAGCTTTCTGAACCCCACCAACGATAGAATTGAGCCAAACCTCCCACACAGAACCCCCGTGTGGGCCACAGCAACGCGTGGCAGGGGATGGCTAGTAATAATAATAATAATAATAATAATAATAATAATAATAATAATGTATTGTCGAAGGCTTTCATGGCCGGAATCACTGGGTTGTTGTAGGTTTTCCGGGCTATATGGCCATGTTCTAGAGGCATTTTCTCCTGACGTTTCGCCTGCATCTATGGCAAGCATCCTCACTACCTCTGAGGATGCTTTCCATAGACGCAGGCAAAACGTCAGGCGAAAATGTCTCTAGAACATGGCCATATAGCCCAGAAAACCTTCAACAACCCAATAATAATAATAATAATAATAATAATCTTTATTTATACCCCGCCACCATCTCCCCAATGGGGACTCGGAGCCTGCATCTATGGCAAGCATCCTCAGAGGTAGTGAGGTGCCATGGTCTAGAGGCATTCTCTTCTGACGTTTCGCCTGCATCTATGGCAAGCATCCTCAGAGGCAGTGAGGTGCCATGATCTAGAGGCATTATCTCCTGACGTTTCGCCTGCATCTATGGCAAGCATCCTCACTACCTCTGAGGATGCTTTCCATAGATGCAGGCGAAACGTCAGGAGAAAATGCCTCTAGAACATGGCCATATAGCCCGAAAAACCTACAACAACCCAATAATAATAATAATAATAATCTTTATTTATACCCCGCCACCATCTCCCCAATGGGGACTCGGAGCGGCTTACATGGGGCATATTACAGCGGAATAAAACCAAAAACATAAACAACAAACAACATAATCAAAATTACATAAAAGAAAGAAAGAAAAAAACATTCCAATAAGCACAGTCCACTTGTGACACTGAGTCCATTCATGGAGTACTTCCTCATTCTTCTGCACGCTGCCGAAAGGTTTTTTATGGCGTCGTAAATTAGTTAAATTCGCCTCCCAGCATAAAGCAGTACCTAAATTTCCTACCTGACAGATGCAACTGTCTTTCGGGCTTTAGTCTTAATAATAATAGTAATAATAATAATATGTATTGTCAAAGGCTTTCATGGCCGGAATCACTGGATTGTTGTAGTTTTCGGGCTATATGGCCATGGTCTAGAGGCATTTTCTCCTGACATTTCACCTGCATCTATGGCAAGCATCCTCAGAGGTAGTGAGGTCTGTTGGAAGTAGGAAAATGGGTTAATATATCCGTGGAATGACCAGGGTGAGACAAATGACTCTTGTCTGCTGTCAGTTGAAACATTCACACCTAGCTCCAGCAGACAAGAGTCCTTCGTCCCACCCTGGTCATTCCACAGATATATAAACCCACGTTTCCTACTTCCAACAGTATTATTATTATTAATGGGGTGGGTTATTTTTTTGGTTGAGGTTTTGGAATGTTTGCAAGCTTTCCAGTGCTCAGGGTTGAGTTGCCACTTGCAGGTGCGGAGGCTCAGGTATGGGCAAATCCAGGCTCCTTGGGCTCTTTTCTCAGCCCCCATGTCTCTCACCATCCTATCCTATCCTATCCTATCCTATCCTATCCTATCCTATCCTATCCTATCCTATCCTATCCTATCCTATCCTATCCTATCCTATCCTTCCTTCCTTCCTTCCTTCCCTCTTTCCTTCCTCCTTCCATCCTTCCCTTTCTTTCTTTCTTTCCCTCCCTTTCTCCTTCCCTCCTTCTTTCCTTCCACCCTTTCATCCTTCCTTCCTTCCCTCTTTCCTTCCTCCTTCCATCCCTCCCTTTCTTTCTTTCTTTCTTTCTTTCTTTCTTTCTTTCTTTCCCTCCCTTTCTCCTTCCCTCCTTCTTCCCTTCCACCCTTTCATCCTTCCTTCCTTTCCTCTTTCATTCCTCCTTCCATCCTTTCGTTTCTTTCTTTCACTCCCTTTCTCCTTCCCTCCTTCTTCCCTTCCACCCTTTCATCCTTCCTTCCTTCCCTCTTTCCTTCCTCCTTCCATCCCTCTCTTTCTTTCTTTCTTTCTTTCCCTCCCTTTCTCCTTCCCTCCTTCTTCCCTTCCACCCTTTCATCCTTCCTTCCTTTCCTCTTTCATTCCTCCTTCCATCCTTTCGTTTCTTTCTTTCACTCCCTTTCTCCTTCCCTCCTTCTTTCCTCCCACCCTTTCATCTTTCCTTCCTTCCCTCTTTCCTTCCTCCTTCCATCCTTCCCTTCCTTCCTTTCTTTCCCTCCCTTTCTCCTTCCCTCTTTCTTCCCTTCCACCCTTTCATCCTTCCTTCCCTCTTTCCTCCCTCATTCCATCCTTCCCTTCCTTCCTTTCTTTCCTTCCCTTTCTCCTTCCCTCCTTCTTCCCTTCCACCCTTTCATCCTTCCCTCCTTCCTTCCTCCTTCCATCCTTCCCTTCCTTTCTTTCTTTCCCTCCCTTTCTCCTTCCCTCGTTCTTCCCTTCCACCCTTTCATCCTTCCTTCCTTCCCTCTTTCCTTCCTCCTTCCATCCTTCCCTTCCTTCCTTTCTTTCCCTCCCTTTCTCCTTTCCTCCTTCTTCCTTTCCACCCTTTCATCCTTCCTTCCTTCCCTCTTTCCTTCCTCCTTCCATCATTCCCTTCCTTTCTTTCCCTCCCTTTCTCCTTTCCTCCTTCTTCCTTTCCACCCTTTCATCCTTCCTTCCTTCCCTCTTTCCTTCCTCCTTCCATCCTTCTATTCCTTGCTTTCTTTCCCTCCCTTTCTCCTTCCCTCCTTCTTCCCTTCCACCCTTTCATCCTTCCTTCCCTCTTCCCTTCCTCCTTCCATCCTTCTCTTCCTTCCTTTCTTTCCCTCCCTTTCTCATTCCCTCCTTCTTCCTTTCCACCCTTTCATCCTTCCTTCCTCCTCTCTTTCCTTCCTCCTTCCATCCTTCCCTTCCTTTCTTTCCCTCCCTTTCTCCTTCCCTCTTTCTTCCCTTCCATCCTTTCATCCATGAACCAATTATCTCCCTCTCCCTTCCTTCCTTCCTTCCTTCCTTCCTTCCTTCCTTCCTTCCTTCCTTCCTTCCTTCCTTCCCCCTTTCTCTTTCCTCCTTCTTCCTTTCCACCCTTTCATCCTTCCTTCCTTCCCTCTTTCCTTCCTCCTTCCATCCTTCCCTTCCTTGCTTTCTTTCCCTCCCTTTCTCCTTCCCTCTTTCTTCCCTTCCACCCTTTCATCCTTCCTTCCCTCTTTCCTTCCTCCTTCCATCCCTCCCTTCCTTTCTTTCTTTCTTTCTTTCTTTCTTTCTTTCTTTCTTTCTTTCCCTCCCTTTCTCCTTCCCTCCTTCTTCCCTTCCACCCTTTCATCCTTCCTTCCTCCTTCCATCCTTCCCTTCCTTTCTTTCTTTCCCTCCCTTTCTCCTTCCCTCGTTCTTCCCTTCCACCCTTTCATCCTTCCTTCCTTTTCTCTTTCCTCCCTCCTTCCCTCTTCCTTTCTCCTTCCTTCCTTCCCTCCTTTCCTTCCTCCTTCCATCCTTCCCTTCCTTGCTTTCTTTGCCTCTCTTTCTCCTTCCCTCCTTCTTCCCTTCCACCCTTTCATCCTTCCTTCCCTCTTTCCTCCCTCCTTCCATCCTTCCCTTCCTTCCTTTCTTTCCCTCCCTTTCTCCTTCCCTCTTTCTTCCCTTCCACCCTTTCATCCTTCCTTCCCTCTTTCCTCCCTCATTCCCTTCCTTCCTTCCTTTCCCTCCCTTTCTCCTTCCCTCGTTCTTCCCTTCCACCCTTTCATCCTCCCTTCCTTCCCTCTTTCCTTCCTCCTTCCATCATTCCCTTCCTTTCTTTCCCTCCCTTTCTCCTTTCCTCCTTCTTCCTTTCCACCCTTTCATCCTTCCTTCCTTCCCTCTTTCCTTCCTCCTTCCATCCTTCTTCCTTGCTTTCTTTCCCTCCCTTTCTCCTTCCCTCCTTCTTCCCTTCCACCCTTTCATCCTTCCTTCCCTCTTTCCTCCCTCATTCCATCCTTCCCTTCCTTCCTTTCTTTCCCTCCCTTTCTCCTTCCCTCCTTCTTCCCTTCCACCCTTTCATCCTTCCTTCCTTCCTTCCTCCTTCCATCCTTCCCTTCCTTCCTTCCTTTCCCTCCCTTTCTCCTTCCCTCCTTCTTCCCTTCCACCCTTTCATCCTTCCTTCCCTCTTTCCTTCCTCCTTCCATCCTTCCCTTCCTTCCTTCCTTTCCCTCCCTTTCTCCTTCCCTCGTTCTTCCCTTCCACCCTTTCATCCTCCCTTCCTTCCCTCTTTCCTTCCTCCTTCCATCATTCCCTTCCTTTCTTTCCCTCCCTTTCTCCTTTCCTCCTTCTTCCTTTCCACCCTTTCATCCTTCCTTCCTTCCCTCTTTCCTTCCTCCTTCCATCCTTCTATTCCTTGCTTTCTTTCCCTCCCTTTCTCCTTCCCTCCTTCTTCCCTTCCACCCTTTCATCTTTCCTTCCTTCCTTTCCTCTTTCCTCCCTCCTTCCCTCTCCCCCTTTCTCCTTCCTTCCTTTCTTCTTTCTCTTTTGTCTTTACTTCCTTCTCCCTGTCCTCCATCCCTCCATTCTCTTTCATCCTTCCTTCCATTCTTCTCATCCTCCCTTTATTCCTCCCTTCCTTCTCTTTTTCCTTCAAGTGGGATGTTTGCCTGGAGAAGAGAAGGCCAAGAGGGAACATGTTTCAAGATCTCAAAGGGTGTCCCATTAAGGAGGAGGGAAAAACTTTCTGCTGCTCTAGATACCAGGGCACAAGGGAGCAATGCATTCAAATGGCAGGGAAAGAGATTCGACTGAAAAGATTAGGAAGAACTTCCTGAGAGTAAAAGCTGTGGAGAGTGGCAGGAGCTGCCTCAGAGTCTGATGGAGGCTTTTCAGCAGAGGCTGTCTATTAGGAGTGCTTTGATTGTGTCTTCTTGCATGGCAGGGGGTTGGGCTGGATGGTCCATGGGGGTCTCTTCCAGCTCTAGTATTCTATATCAAGAGTAGACAATAGGGGGTCTCGTGAATACACTTTTTCTCTTCTGTCCACCATCTCATCCTGGCCAAGGCCAACCCTTTTGAGATCCAAATATTTCCTGAGTTTTCTTCACTTCCTGCCTCTGAAAGAAAAGAGGAAGGGGAGGAAAGGGTGGGGAGGGGACCTGGGGAGAACCCCCTCCCTCCCAACCCACCCACCTCACTCTTGCCCACCATGTGGCCCCAAATTTAGAAAGTTTGCCCATGCCTGAGTTAGATTGTGTGAGTTGTTGTGAATGCTCTCCCTCTCTCTGTCCGTCCCTCCAGACGGTTCCCGCCAGCGCAGCCGCTGGCCAGGACGGGTACGTGCTGCTCCTGGTGCTGCTCTCCACCTTCATCGGAGGGACCCTCATTCTGCTATTTGGAGTCCTGATCATTTGCCGCCGCTGCTGTGAGACGGACCACCGCCACTCCAGGTATCGCGGCATGATGAGACGTGTTATTTTGGGGGAATATTATAATAATGGGGGCCGTGGTGGCACAACAGGTTAAACTGCTGAGCTGTGGAACTTGCTGACCGAAAGGTTGGCGCTTTGAATCCGCAGACCAGGGTGGGCTCTTGTTGTTAGCCCCAGCTTCTGCCAGCTAGAAGTTTGAAAACCCCATAGCAAACCAATACTTTTTCTATAAATTCCCAATGAATGTTATCGAAGGTTTTCTCTGCATCTAGAAATAGAAGCTCAGCTTCTCTGTTGGAGGCCCGGTGGCGCAGTGGGTTAAAGCCCTGTGCCAGCAGGACTGAAGACCGACAGGTCGCAGGTTCAAATCCGGGGAGAGGCGGATGAGCTCCCTCTATCAGCTCCAGCTCCTCATGCGGGGACATGAGAGAAGCCTCCCACAAAGGATGATAAAAACATCAAATCATCTGGGCGTCCCCTGGCCAACGTCCTTGCAGGCGGCCAATTCTCTCACACCAGAAGCAACTTGCAGTTTCTCAAGTCGCTCCTGACACGACAAAAAAAAAAAGCTTCTCTGTTGGGGTCTTGTTCAGCCACATCTAGTATGTTTTAAAACCATTTGTATGCTTCAGTTTGGTCCCCCTGGTGTCGCAACAGGTTAAACTGCTGAGCTGCTGAACTTGCTGACTGAAAGGTTGGCAGTTCGAATCCGCAGAATAGGCTGAGCTCCTATTTGCCCCAGTTTCTGCCACCCTAGCAGTTAAAAAAAATGCAAATGTGAGTTGATCAATAGGTACTGCTCTGGTGGGAAGGTAACAGCGCTCCATGCAGTCATGCTGGCCACATGACCTTGGAGGTGTCTATGGACAGCATTGGCTCTTCAGTTTCGAAATGGAGATGAGCACCAACCTCTATAGTCAGACTTGACTAGACTTAATGTCAAGGGAAAACCTTTACCTTTTATTATAATAATAGGAAGTAAGCTTGTGCATTTTGGCCGAACCTCAAACCGTTTCTGATATCTGGATTCTGGCGGGGGCTGTGGATCCATTTTCACCTCCCCAAAATGGGCAGGTGCACAAATTGATATTTTCAGCCCACAACCAGAAAGTGCGGCTCAATCGAGCCCATTGGCGGCAATGGGGTGGGGACTTCACGGGCTCCCCTCCCATCATTTTGAGGGCTATCTGGATGAAAATGGGCACACTTGGAGGGCATCTACCACTGCTGGCCCACCAATTTTCATAACCTTTGGCTCACCCCCTGATTTTTAGGATTTTTTTTTCTTTCTAGAAATACAATCCACATGACATTAAGTCTAGTCATGTCCAACTCTGGGGGGTGGTGCTCATCTCCATTTCTGAGCCCAAAAGCCAGCGTTGTCCATAGACACCTTCTAGGTCATGTGGCCAGCATGATTGCATGGAGCACCGTTCCCTTCCCACCGAAGCGGTACCTACTGATCTATTCGCATTTGCATGTTTGTGAATAGATCAATAGGTAGTTCGAATTCCCGCTCCCTGGATTCGAACCGCCGACCTTTCGGTCAGCAAGTTCAGAAGGTTAGCCATTTAATCTGCTATGCCACCAAGGGGTCCAAACCAAAGCGTACAAATGGTTTTAAAACATACTAGAGGTGGCTGAACAAGACCCTAACAGAGAAGCTGGACTTCTATTTCTTGATGCAGAGAAAGCTTTCAATAACATTCATTGGGGATTCATTGGGCATAGCACAAGCCTGAAAAATGTAACAGTATCCAAAAGTCCCAGGCTCAGCCAGCTCCCCTGGCGTAGCCTGACCAATCAGCTTCGTGCATCTTATTTTACAGTTAACACACACTAACTGATTTCTTGCATGCTCCAACAACTTTTAATTACTTGTGGAAAGCTATGGGCCAGCTCTGGCGCCGTGTGATCTTCCTCCTCCCAAGAATCCAATGGGACTGAAACGGTGGCGGTCGTCCCCTTGCCATTCCTCATTTGAGTTACAGCCGTGCTATAACACAGCACCGCTATCACTTCGCATCCTTTGCAATCTCTTAAGTTGGTTAGTTTCGATCTCTCGGCAGCCTGTGTGACTTTGCAGGGTGGTTTTGATGCTTTAAAATGACTTTAAAGGGGGCAAACCTTGAGCCAAAAAGGAATGCTGCCCCGCTTTATCAACAGCTTCAAGAAAATATCTCTTGCCTGTCCTGCTTTCAGAGCCAGCGATGACCCAGAGAAAACAAATACCACTTACCTGGATGACACCCAACCGGCTCAAGGTGAGATTTCTCAAAAAAAGATTGGTTATTGAGGTGAGAAAAGGAGAGAAAGAAGGATGGGAAGAAAGGAAAAAGGAGGGAAAGGATGAAGGATGGGAAGAAAGGAAAAGGAAGGAAAGAAGGAAGAGAAAGGGAAAGAAAGGACGAAAGATGGGAAGAAAGGAAAAAGAGGGAAGGAAGGAAGAGAAAGGGAAAGAAAGGACGAAGGATGGGGAAAAAGGAAAAAAGGAGGGAAAGAAGGAAGTGAAAGGGAAAGAAAGAACGAAGAATGGGGAAAAAGGAAAAAGAGGGAAGGAAGGAAGAGAAAGGGAAAGAAAGGACGAAGGATGGGAAGAAAGGAAAAAGCAGGGAAAGAAGGAAGAGAAAGGGAAAGAAAGTATGAAGGATGGGAAGAAAGGAAAAAGGAGGGAAAGAAGGAAGAGAAAGGGAAAGAGGACAAGAACGGAAAGAAAGTATGAAGGATGCGAAGAAAGGAAAAAGAGGGAAAGTATGAAGGATGGGAAGAAAGGAAAAAGGAGGGAAAGAAGGAAGAGAAAGGGAAAGAGGACAAGAAAGGAAAAAAAGTATGAAGGATGCGAAGAAAGGAAAAAAGAGGGAAAGAAGGAAGGATGGGAAGAAAGGAAAAAGGAGGGAAAGAAGGAAAAGGGAAAGAAAGGATGAAGGGTGGGAAGAAAGGAAAAAGAGGGAAAGAAGGAAGAGAAACGGAAAGAAAGTATGAAGGATGGGAAGAAAGGAAAAAGGAGGTAAAGAAGGAAGAGAAAGGGAAAGAGGACAAGAAAGGAAAGAAAGTATGAAGGATGCAAAGAAAGGAAAAAAGAGGGAAAGAAGGAAGGATGGGAAGAAAGGAAAAAGAGGGAAAGAAGGAAGAGAAAGGGAAAGAGGACAAAGGATGGGAAGAAAGGAAAAAGAGGGAAGGAAGGAAGAGAAGAGGAAAGAAAGGACGAAGGATGGGAAGAAAGGAAAAAGGAGGGAAAGAAGGAAAAAGGAAAGAAAGGACAAAGGATGGGAAGAAAGGAAAAAGAGGGAAAGGAGGAAGAGAAATGGAAAGAAAGTATGAAGGACGGGAAGAAAGGAAAAAGGAGGGAAAGAAGGAAGAGAAAGAAGGAAGAGAAAGGGAAAGAGGACAAGAAAGGAAAGAAAGTATGAAGGATGCGAAGAAAGGAAAAAAGAGGGAAAGAAGGAAGGATGGGAAGAAAGGAAAAAGAGGGAAAGAAGGAAGAGAAAGGAAAATAGGACAAAGGATGGGAAGAAAGGAAAAAGAGGGAGGGAAGGAAGAGAAAGGGAAAGAAAGGACGAAGGATGGGAAGAAAGGAAAAGGAAGGGAAAGAAGGAAGGATGGGAAGAAAGGAAAAGGAAGGGAAAGAAGGAAGGATGGGAAGAAAGGAAAAAGGAGGGAAAGAAGGAAGAGAAAGGGAAAGAGGACAAAGGATGGGAAGAAAGGAAAAAGAGGGAAAGAAGGAAGAGAAAGGGAAAGAAAGGATGAAGGATGGGAAGAAAGGAAAAGGATAGAAAGAAGGAAGAATGGGAAGAAAGGAAAAAGGAGGGAAAGAAGGAAGAGAAAAGGAAAGAAAGGACAATGGATCGCCTCATTTCTAGTCTTAATTGGGAACACAAGCTATGAATTAACACTACATACCAGAAGAATGAATGGTTAAACGTTTTTAAAATAGCAGAAATGTATAAATTAGCAAAGGCAAAAAAACACGCAACAACTTTAGCAAAGACAGAACCATTTCTAAACTTAAAAAAAATAGGGAAAGGTGTTTATAATTTAATCTGTGTTGGTAGTTTATAAATGATAACTATCAAGCCAAAGGGAAGAATAGAAAAAAAAATGTAATAGGAAGGAAGAATGGAATGATACAGGAACGTCTCCAACCTATTTTTGGGACAGGAAGTCACCTTAATGGGAGGGGAGTTAGGAGGGGAGGGTATAACCCAATACAAATATTGTATAGTAAATGATTCATGTATACAGTAGAGTCTTGCTTATCCGACATAAACGGGCTGGCAGAACATCGGATAAATGAAAATGTCAGATAATACGGCATCTCTTGCTGTTACCTGACCGAATGCTAACAACATGGACTCAATGAGTTAAGGCATATAAATCACAGACCGGGCCCAAACTTAGCACACAGAGTACTCATGGCCCACTCTACATCCTGATGCAGTTCTAAGGGGGATGGACCACTGATGATGGGACTTGCAGTATCTTTACACACTTACTGAAACCACTGCGACCCTCATCCAATGACCAATCAAGACCAAATTGGCACACAGAGCCCCCATGACCCACTCTACATCCTGCTGCAGTTTGGAGGAGGGTTGACCATGGAAGATGGGACTTGCAGTACCTTCACTCACTTACTGAAACCACTGCGACCCTCATCCAATGACCAATCAAGACCAAATTGGCACACAGAGCCCCCATGACCCACTCTACATCCTGCTGCAGTTTGGAGGAGGGTTGACCATGGATGATGGGACTTGCAGTACCTTCACTCACTTACTGAAACCACTGCGACCCTAATCCAATGACTGATCAAGACCAAACTTAGCACACAGAGCCCCCATGACCCACTCTACATCCTGCTGCTGTTTGAAGGAGGATGGACTTTGGATGATGGGACTTGCAGTACCTTCACTCACTTACTGAAACCACTGCGACTCTAATCCAATGACTGATCAAGACCAAACTTGGCACACAGAGCCCCCATGACCCACTCTACATCCTGCTGCAGTTTGGAGGAGGGTGGATCATGGATGATGGGACTTGCAGTACCTTCACTCACTTACTGAAACCACTGCGACCCTAATCCAATGACTGATCAAGACCAAACTTAGCACACAGAGCCCCCATGACCCACTCTACATCCTGCTGCAGTTTGAAGGAGGATGGACTTTGGATGATGGGACTTGCAGTACCTTCACTCACTTACTAAAACCAGTGCCACCCTCATCCAATGACTGCTAAAGAACAAACTTGGCACACAGAGCCCCCATGACCCACTCTACATCCTGCTGCTGTTTGGAGGAGGTGGACCATGGATGATGGGACTTCAAGTACCTTCACTCACTTACTGAAAACAATGCAACCATCATCCAATGACCAATAAAGACCAAACTTGGCATACAGAACCGCCATTACCCACTTTCTCTAATAACCCAGGCAGCGCTGGGTCCCCAAGCTAGTTGAAAATAAATAAACCCAACAGAACTACCGAGTCACCAAATACCGGGGCAGGAGGGATGCTCTAACTGGGGTCCATAGAGGTCATCCAGCCTAACCCTCGGCAGCCATGTCTTCCCCGGTTGCTTTCCCAGAGATCACCATCAAGGTGGACGACCCCGATGGGATGTCGGGCAGCGGCTTCCGAGACACGGAGAGCGAGCGGTTCCTGTCCTCGGGCAGCTCCACGGGACGGAGAGTCTCCTTCAATGAGGCTGCGCTTTTTGAGCAGAGCAAGAAGACGCAGGAGAAGGGACGGAGGTAGGCCCCGGCCCCAGCGGAAGGCAAGGCAGGATAGGCAAGGTTAACCCTCCTGTTTAAGGAGCTCCACTGGCTGCCATTCATTTTCCGGTCCCAATTCAAGGTGCAGGTGCTTACCTACAAAGCCCTAAATGGTTTGGGACCCACCTACCTGCATGACCGCATCTCTGTGTACGAACCCACACAATCTCTTTGTTCATCTGGAGAGGCCCTGCTTACGATCCCACCGGCATCGCAAGCGCGATTGGTGGGGACGAGGGATAGGGCTTTCTCGGTGGTGGCCCCTCGACTCTGGAACTCTCTCCCTAAAGACATCAGGCAGGCCCCGTCGCTAGCAATCTTTAGGAGGAGCTTGAAAACGTGGTTGTTCCAGTGTGCCTTCCCAGAATAAGGAAACTCCAAGCATTATGTCCCAACGCACTTTATCAGAGATCTAGGATATCTGCATGCCCACCCCCCTCCAAACACCCCACCTTGTCATGCCCAGCACTTTTTAATTTTAATTGTTACACTTGACCCGGCCATTGTTTTTAATTGCGTCATTGGGTGTTGTTAATGTTATTGCTTTGTTTTTTGAGTTATTGTGTTGTTGTTGCTGTTATTTTTATTGTTGTATTTGGGCTTGGCCTCTTGTAAGCCGCACCGAGTCCTTCGGGAGATGGTAGCGGGGTACAAATAAAGGATTATTATTATTATTATTATTATTATTATTATTGTTAGGCAGAGTGAATTTTTCAAGAAAGAGATGCAAGTCAAGAATGGATTAAGGAGAAGGGGGGAGGGAGGGAAAAGAAAGTCAAGAGTGAAGGAATGTGGGATGAGTGATTTGAGTGAGAGGTAGAGATCAAACTGACCTGACAGAGATGGGAGGAAAACTGCGCAGGAAGATTGTCTTCAGAAATATGGGATGTTTAGGAAGAGAGAAAGACACAGAGGGCCCTTCCACACAGCCTTATAACCCAGAATATCAAGGCAGATGACCCACAATAGGGAGCCCCCCCATTGCTCAGTGGGTTAAACCGCTTAAGCTTCTGAACTTGCTGACCAAAAGGTCGGCGGTTCGAATCCGGGGAGTGGCATGAGTTCCCGCTGTTAGCCCAGCTTCATCAAAATGTGACTTCTGTGGGAAAGTAACAGCACTCCATGCAGTCATGCTGGCCACATGACTTTGGAGGCGTCTCCGGACAACGCCGGCTCTTCAACTTAGAAATGGAGATGAGCACCAATCCCCAGAGTTGGACAAAACTAGACTTAATGCCAAGGGGAAACTGTTACCTTTACCTTACCAGGTGTTGCTCCTGCCCACTTTCTCCCTTCTCCAGCTCTGGAAAAGCCTACCTCACAATGCCCCCCTTCCCTTCTTTCACATGTCCCCTTTCTCTCCCGGTGGGAAAGGGCCACTCCACCTGCCAATGGCCCTGACCCCTTCTAACTTCTCTCCCTCTCTCTCTCTCTTGGGGCAGGTACACCCTGACGGAGGGGGATTTCCACCACTTGAAGAATGCCCGCCTGAGCCACCTCCCACTGCCCCCATCGGCGGCCCTCAAGATCGTGACCATCCATGAGTGCGAATCCAGTGAGAACAACGTCGGCATGTCGCCCCGCCGCCCCCCCGCCAAGCCCAGCCTTGCCATCTTTCAGGTGAGCTCTGCCAGTGTGTTTCATAGTGTTTGTTATCAGTGTCATTATTTCCTAATTGGTCCTATCATAAATAACATGGGAAATGCTTAGGGTTGTTTTTGCGGGAGGGATATCATCCGGCAACGCATTTTGTTGTAGTTTTCGGAGGTATTGTACTCGCTCTCTCCTCACTCCCATGTTGGTTTATGTAGGCAAAAACTTGAGAGAGTAAGGTATTCTGAACTAACTGTGAGGTTGCTCAGCTCCGTGTTGCGGTAGTTTAGCCTTTTTTTGAAAGAACACACCAAGACACACAAGGACTGAAGATACCAAACGTCTTTATGGTTCGGAATAAAAGAGCCTCACACTCCTGCCCGTCTGTATAGGCCTAGCTACAATATAATCCATCACCCAAGAGTCCTGGCACTTGGAGGTTGCCCCTTTCCACATTCCAGAGCCCACTTTCCCCCCACCTCGGAGCAATTGACTTTGGTGGCTGGTTCATATGGCCTGTCCTCCCTTTTGGCCCATGGCCATGTACTCTTCTGCGCTAGCTGTGCCTGTACCTTGGGAAGTCTGATCTGGCTACGGTTATCCACGCTCTGGTTACATCCCAGATAGATTACTGCAATGCGCTCTACGTGGGGCTGCCCTTGAAGACGGTTCGGAAACTTCAGCAAGTCCAACGGGCGGCATTTATTTATTATTTATTTCGGGTACTTCTACCCCGCCCTTCTCAACCCCCGAGGGGGGACCCAGGGCGGCTTACAAAATGGCACAATTCGATGCCTACACAATAATACAATAAACGTATAAAAACAGCAGTTAAACGGTTAAACAATTAAAACAACAATATATATCACAGTCAACAGCCAATCTCAAGCACAGCGTTCGCCAACTCGGAGTCCATACTTCGTTCCACATTGTCTATTCCTATCCGTCGTCGCAGTCCTTTATTTATCTGCCAGATTGCCCAAACGCCTGGTCCCACAGCCATGTTTTTAATTTCTTTCTAAAGGAAAGGAGGGATGTCGCTGATCTAATTTCCCCAGGGAGTGAATTCCATAGGTGAGGGGCCACCACTGAGAAGGCCCTGCTCCTCATCCCCGCCAATCTCACTTGTGACAGAGGCGGGGCCGAGAGGAGGGCCTCCCCAGAGGATCTCAAACTCTGAGGTGGGACGTAGAGGGAGATGCGTTCAGACAGATACGCTGGGCCGGAACCGTATAGGATTTTGTAGATCAAAACCAGCACTTTGAATTGTGCTCGGAACTGGATCAGCAACCAATGGAGCTGACACAACAGGGGGGTGGTATGCTCCCTGTATGACGTTCCGGTGAGCAATCTGGCTGCCTCCCGCTGGACTAATTGAAGTTTCCAAACAGTCTTCAAAGGCAACCCCACGTAGAGTGCGTTGCAGTAATCTATCCGGGATGTAACAAGAGCAAGGACCACCATGGCATCCAGATTACCAACTGGGGCAACATACAGGGAACATACTACCCCTCTGTTATGTCAGCTCCACTGGCTGCCGGTCCATTTCTGAACCCATTTCAAAGTGCTGGTTTTGACCTATAAAGCTCTATACAGTTCTGGCCCAGAGTACTTGTCCGAACGCATCCACCCTTATGTCCCACCTCTTAATCTAAGATCATCCGGGGAGGCCCTGCTCTCGCTCCCATTCATTTTCTGGTCTCAAACTCTGGGGTGCTTTGAATGCAATATTCCTGCTTCTTGGCAGGGGGTTGGACTGGATGGCCCATGAGGTCTCTTCCAAGTCTATGATTCTATGATTCTATGATTCTATGAATTCAAGGTGCAGGTTCTCACCTACAAAGCCCTGGGGTGAATGGGAGCGAGAGCAGGGCCTCCCCGGATGATCTTAGATTACGAGGTGGGACGTTAGGGTGGATGCGTTCAAACAAGTAAGCTGGGCCAGAATCCACACGATCTCTTCGATCGTCCAGAGAGGCCCTGCTCTCACTCCCGTCCCTTTTGCAGGCGCAACTGGTGGGGACGAGGGAGAGGGCCTTCTCTGTGGTGGCCCCCCGACTCTGGAACTCACTCCCCAAGGACATCAGGCAAGCCCTCACATTGGCAGTCTTTAGGAGGAGCTTGAAAACTTGGCTGCTCCAATGTGCCTTTCCCTGAATAAAGTAAACAATACCCTGATCTGACCAATTTTCTGCAAAATGTTCGCTGTAGCACTTTATCAACCCGTTGGAGTAATTCCCTACATTACCCTAAAAAAAACCCTGTTTAGACATACTCTACTGCTGTTCACACCCAGTGTTTTAAATTTTTATTTTATTACATTTGGTCCTGCCCACAGTGTTGGTTTCTTGTATTTTTACATTTTCTGTTTTATTGCTTATATGTTATTTATAATGCTTTGTAATGTATTTTATTTTGCTGCTGTGTTGTTTTTACTGATGTTGGGCTTGGGCTCATGTAAGCCGCCTCGAGTCCCCTTGGGGAGATGGTGGCAGGGTATAAATAAAGTATTATTGTCTGGTTGTTGTAGGTTTTTTTCGGGCTATATGGCCATGTTCTAGAGCCGTGGTTCTCAACCTGGGGTCCCCAGATGTTTTTAGCCTACATCTCCCAGAAATCCCAGCAAGTTTACAAGCTGTTAGGATTTCTGGGAGTTGAAGGCTAAAAACATCTGGGGACCCCAGGTTGAGAAGCACTGTTCTAGAGGCATTCTCTCCTGACGTTTCGCCTGCATCTATGGCAAGCATCCTCAGAGGTAGTGAGATCTGTTGGAACTAGGAAAAAGGGTTTATATATCTGTGGAATGACCAGGGTGGGACAAAGGACTCTTGTCTGCTGGAGCTAGGTGTGAATATTTCAACTGACCACCTTGATTAGCATTTAATGGCCTGGCAGTGCTTGGGGCAATCTTTTGTTGAGAGGTGATTAGATGTCCCTGATTTATGTTTAATTGTGGTTTTATTATGTTTAATTGTGATTTTATTATGGTAATTGTTATGTACCAGTATTGTATCGGTGCCTACTATAAGCTGCCCTGAGTCCCCCTTTGGGGGTAGAGAAGTGACGGGGTAGAAATACTGGAAATAAATAAATAAATACTCTGTATCAGGAGGGCTGATAGTCGAATGGCATTCATGACAGGAAGATCTCATCATAAGAGTCTCAAGCAATTCAACCCAGTTTGTGGCAGCCACAAAAATAATAATATAATAACAATAAACTTTATTTCTACCCCGCCAGCATCTCCCCGATGGGGACTCGGAGCGGCTTACATGGGGCCAAGCCCGGACAACATAATACAGCAATAAAATCAAAGCATATACATCAGACAACAACAACATTATCAAAAACAAATTAGTTTCTGGAGGAGAATAATGCCTTGCAAAGTAAGAACTGCACAATTCAACAGTAAACAACATTTTCAAACACAGGAACAGAAAACTTTTCAAATTTTCTTATAGTGTTATTGAAAATTACTATATATTGGATATGCTTACCCAATACTTTGGATCTTCCTGTTGTTGTTGTTGTTTATTGTTATTATTGTGGCTGGATGGCCATCTGTTGGGGTACTTTGATCATAGAATCATAGAATCAAAGAGTTGGAAGAGACCTCATGGGCATCCAGTCCAACCCCCTGCCAGCACAAAAATTGCATTCAAATCACCCCTGACAGATGGCCATCCAGCCTCTGTTTAAAAGCTTCCAAAGAAGGAGCCCCACCACACTCCGGGGCAGAGAGTTCCACTGCTGAACGGCTCTCACAGTCAGGAAGTTCTTCCTCATGTTCAGGTGGAATCTCCTCTCTTGTAGTTTGTGTCCTAGTCTCCAGGGAAGCAGAAAACAAGCTTGCTCCCTCCTCCCTGTGGCTTCCTCTCACATATTTATACATGGCTATCATATCTCCTCTCAGCCATCTCTTCTTCAGGCTAAACATGCCCAGCTCCTTAAGCCGCTCCTCATAGGGCTTGTTCTCCAGACCCTTGATCATTTTAGTCGTCCTCCTCTGGACACATTCCAGCTTGTCAATATCTCTCTTGAATTGTGGTGCCCAGAATTGGACACAATATTCCAGGTGTGGTCTAACCAAGAGGGGTAGCATTACTTCCCTAGATCTAGACACTATGCTCCTATTGAGGCAGGCCAAAATCCCATTGGCTTTTTTTGCCGCCACATCACATTGTTGGCTCATGTTTAACTTGTTGTCCACGAGGACTCCAAGATCTTTGGCATCTTCCTTTATGGCAGAAGGGGTGTCAGCTCCTGGCAAACTCTAGAATAAAAGCAAAGGAAACTCCATGGAAACAGCTTTATTATTCCTTCTTGCCAAAATGCATGGAAAGCTAGTTCTGACCCTTTCCCACCAAACCTGTAGTATTTCATCTAGCTGACCCATGACCCCCTTGTTATCTATTCTAACGGCTACATTCCATTCCCAAAGATCATACAATATTTCCCAGGTTTTTCCCTCCTAGTCCAGATGGCCCTTATCAGAAGCCAGTGTTTCACTCCCAAACTGGCATGGAGTGGACGGAGCAGCTTGTTGACTTTAGCTGGTACGGACACATCCTGACAAGGGAGCTGGACTAGATAGCCTTTAGAAGTCCCTTCCAACTCTATGATTCTATTAAATTGAAGCCGGTAGAAGCTTTGGAAGGGTCCCCCCCAGGAGGAGGGACCCTGGGACTGCACCAAAGAGGGTCCGCTACTTTGTTAAGCCAGAGAAGCCTGATTTCAGCAATTTTATTTAGATTAAAATTCAAAATAAAGCTCACCAAAGTTGAAGAAGTGGCACCGAGGCGTTTATTGGCGATTCAGCTGAAAAGGATGCTATGTAGCAATAATTTGCCTACAAAGCATGAGGATACACCAATGCAGTCATATTTATAGTAAATTCAAAGTTGCAGAGTTCAAACTTCCCGCCCCAGCCTCCCTGCCGCCCTCCACCATGATTGGACGGTGGGCAAACAGCTGGGAGGTGGCCCTCCTGCCCCTGGCGCCTCCAGACCAATCAGGAAGCTCCAGTGGTCCGTAGGAGACCTCTGCTGCCTGGCGGCGACAGCAAATCAGGAGAGAGGGAGGCGGGACGATGGAACACAAAGGAATCTGTGAATGAGTCTTAAAAAAAAGGAAGTGCCATGTGGCCTGTGAGACAAAAAGCTCAAGCAGGGCTGACCTATTGTGTTTTGAGTGTTGTAAATCAACATGTGTAAAAATATCCAGATCCTTCCTGGCTGCGAGACAGGAGAACAATGAGGGCAGCCTGGGGTTAATGCTATCAATGGGAAGTAAACAAAAAGCAGAGGGGGAGATTTCCCCTTATCTTACTTGAAGAGTGATAGAAACTTTGCCAAACAATTCTTTACTCTAGTGGGCCATCTCCGATGCTAGAGATAAGAATCTCCTTCTATTATCCATGCAAGTGTGCCTTTGGCTGGAGATTTCGGTAATCGCTAATGGCTTTTGTTTCTTAAGGCCAGGTGGTTCCCTTACATATTTCTTTGGAGGGAGAAGGGGGCAAAGGGTCAAGCTAGGGTCAGGAATACAAGGAAACATAAAAATCATATAGAAATTATACACAGGGAAATCATATGCAGGTATCTTCCCATCCAGGACCCCAGAGAGGAATTAATAATACCAATTATAAAAAGCAGACGATATCAGGACACAGCATGAATTCATAAGTCGTTCCTTGAAGAAAGTTCATGGGCAAAGAGTGAGCCCTTGGGGAGAGTGAAGTCCAGAATAGGGGCAGAAACCAATAAGTCATGCAAAGAATCAATGGAGTTCCACTGAGCCAAAGGATGGAGTTCTGCAGAACTGAGAACGAAGCAGGTCCTTGGTCCTTAGGGAAACTACAGCTCTCTCGAGAGAGAGGCAGAGACCCCAAGGTCTAGCCGTTCCCAAAGTCTCGTGGGGTCCTCATTGCTGTTAGTGTCTTGGCAAATTGACCAAGACTTAACCCCTATTGTGTAGTCTGGTACTCTTGTCCTTTGCAGAACTATAAGTTACTATCTGTTGTGGGGGGGGGGGCATGCTCGAATTCAAAATGACAAGGGGTGAGCGACTGGTTGATTTGCAATGGCACCTGCACTGCAGCCTCAGATTTTGGCCCAGAACCCAGCTCAGAGGTAGCCTTACCTCCCCTTTTGACTGTCCGTCCGGTTGCCTCCTCCTTCTGCAGCCCAGGGGTGCCGCCCTCCTGCCACAGACGGCGCTGACCGGCCACGGGATGTGTCCCAGCTCGGCCTTGCCTGGGGACACGTTCAATTCTACGGTGGAAGCCAGTCCGTCTGTTTCCTCCGACTCTGGCGAAGGGACCTCGGTAGGTTGAACGGCTGCTCAAGAGGCAACTCGTTACTCATCTCACTAGCTGTCCCCTGCCATGCTTTGCTGTGGCCCAGTCTGTGTATATGTGTTTCGTGTGTGTATATGTGTGCTTGCATATATATGTGTGGTTTGGCACATGTGTTGTAATGTAATTTTTAATTTTTTGGCTTTTTAAGTCTCTTCTGTTGTGTTTTTCAGTGTTTTTATGAGTGACTAGCCGTCCCCTGCCACGCGTTGCAGTGGCCCACTCTGGTGGTCATGGCGGTTCTGTGTGGGAGGTTTGGCCCAATTCTATCGTTGGTCGGGTTCAGAATGCTCTGTGATTGTAGGTGAACTACAAATCCCAGCAACCACAACTCCCAAAAGATTCTATTTTCCCCAAACTCCACCATTGTTCACATCTGGGCATATTGAGTATTAGTGTAGAGTTTGGTCCATTGTTTGAGTCCACAGTGCTTTCTGGATATAGGTGAACTACAACTCCAAAACCAAAGGACACTGCCCCCCAAATCCTTCCAGTATTTTCTGTTGTTCATGGGAGAACTGTGTGCCATGTTTGGTTCAATTCCATCGTTGGTAGAGATTAGAATGCTCTTTGATTGTAGGTGAACTATAAATCTCAATTACAACTCCCAAATGACAAAATCAATTTTTTGAGTGAGGGACATACATTGGGTTGTTAGGTGTGTTGTGTCCAAATTTGGTGTCAATTTGTCCAGTGGTTTTTGAGTTCTGTTAATCCCACAAACGAACATTACATTTTTATTTATATAGATGGTCACTCACTGGCCTGATAGGTTGTGTCCAAATTTGGTGTCAATTCGTCCAGTGGATTTTGAGTTACGTTAATCCCACAAACGAACATTACATTTTTATTTATATAGACAAGCTGTACCCACCACGCGTTGCTGTGGCCAACCTTCCCTCTTTCTCTCCTTCCTTCCTTCCTTCCTTCCTTCCTTCCTTCCTTCCTTCCTTCTTCCTTCATTCCCTTTTTTCTTTCCTTCTCTCCTTCCTTTCTTCCTTCCTTCCCCCTTTTTCTTTCTCTTCTGGTCTCTTTTCTTCCTTCTCTCTTTCTTTCTTTCCTTCCCTCCCTCTTTCTCTACATCTTCCCCCTTCTCCCTCTTTCCTTCCTTCCCGTCTTTCCTTCTCTTCTTCCTTCCTTCTCTTTCCTTCCTTCCCCCTTTTTCTTTCTCTTCTGCTGTCTCTCTTTCTTCCTTCTCTCTTTCCTTCTTTCCTTCCCTCCCTCTTTCTCTACATCTTCCCCCTTCCTTCGCTCCCTCTTTCCTTCCTTCCTTCCTTCCTTCCTTCCTTCCTTCCTTCCTTCCTTCCTTCCTATCTCCTTCCTTCCTCCCCTTTTCTTTCTCTTCTGCTGTCTCTCTTTTCTTCCTTCTCTCTTTCCTCCTTTCCTTCCCTCCCTCTTTCTCTACATCTTCCCCCTTCCTTCGCTCCCTCTTTCCTTCCTTCTTTCCCTTTTTTCTTTCCTTCTCTCCTTCCTTCTCTAATTTCCTTCCTTCCCCTTTTCTCTTTTCCCTCTTTCCCTTTTCCTTCTCTACCTCTTTCCTTCCTTTCTCTTTGCTTCTGCTTCCTTCTCCTTCTTTCTTTCTTTTCTTCTTTCTTTCCCTCTCTTTCTTTTCTTCTTTTTTTCCTTTTTTTTTTTTTTTTTCTTTTTTTTTTTTCTTTCTTTTTTTTTTTTTTTTTTTTTCTCCCCTTCCCTCCCCTTTCTTCCTTTTTCCATATTGTCATTTAGCTTTTTGAGGCTTTTTAAGTCCCTTCTGCTGTGTTTTTATGAGTGAAGGACATACATTGGGTTGTTAGGTGTCTTGTGTCCAAATTTGGTGTCAATCTGCCCAGTGGTTTTTGAGTTATGTCAATCCCACAAACGAACATTACATTTTTATTTATATAGACTAGCTGTACCCACCACGTGTTGCTGTGGCCAACCTTCCCTCCCATTTTCTCTCCTCCTAGCTTTCTCTCCTTCCTTCCCTTTTTTTCTTTCATTCTCTCCTTCCTTCCCTTCCTTTTCCCTTCCTCCCTCCCTTTTCTTTCCCTCCTCTTTCTCCTCTTTTTTCCTTCTCTACCTATTCTTGGACTGCAACTCCCAGCAGTCCTCCTGATCAATCTATCTATCTATATCTATCTATCTATCTATCTCTCTATCTATCTATCTATCTATCTTATCTATCTGGAGGATTGCTGGGAGTTGCAGTCCAGGAATAGGAAGTTGGAAATATGTAGGGATTGGGATACTCTCAAAGAAATCCAAGGAGAAGAAAGCTTGCGTCTTGGAAGCAGTGCATTTGGATCATCCTCCTCTCCTAAAGGGCCTGGTCTAGGGGATGCTGGGAGCGGTAGTCTGGAAGGGAGTGTGGATATGCTATTGTGTGTTTTGTTTGCCAAGGGGAATTGTTTTTGCGCATGCGCTGTAACTTCTTTTTGCTTTTTTGGCTTTTTAAGTCCCTTCCGTTGTGTTTTTCAGTGTTTTTATGAGTGATGGTCACTCGTTGGCCTGATAGGTGTATTGCGTCCAAATTTGGTGTCAATTCGTCTAGTTGTTTTTGAGTTATGTTAATCCCACAAACGAACATTACATTTTTATTTATATAGACTAGCTGCCCCCTGCCACGCGTTGCTGTGGCCCAGTTTTTGTATATGTGTATTGTGTGTATATATATATGTGCATATGTGTGTGTATATGTTTGTGTATATGTGTATATATGTGTGTTTGCGTATATATGTGGTTTTGTGCATGCGTTGTAATGCTTTTTGTTGGTTTTTTTTTTTGCTTTTTAAGTCTCTTCTGCTGTGTTTTTCAGTGTTTTTATGAGTGATGGTCACTCGCTGGCCTGATTGGTGTACTGTGTCCAAATTCAGTGTCAATTTGTCCAGTGGTTTTTGAGTTACGTTAATCCCACAAACAAACATTACATATTTATTTATATAGACTAGCCGTCCCCTGCCACGCATTGCTGTGGCCCACATGTGGGTTCTGTGTGGGAGGTTTGGCCCAATTCTATCGTTGGTGGGATTCAGAATGCTCTGTGATTGTAGGTGAACTATAAATCCCAGCAACGACAACTCCCGAATGTCAAGATTCTGTTTTCCCCAAATTCCACCAGTGTTCACATTCGGGCATATTGAGTATTCATGTAGAGTTTGGTCCAGATCCATCATTGTTTGAGTCCACAGTGATCTCTGGATGTAGGTGAACTACAACTCCAAAACCAAAGAACACTGCCCATCAAACCCTTCCAGTATTTTCTGTTGGTCATGGGAGAACTGTGTGCCAAGTTTGGTTCAATTCCATCGTTGGTGGGGTTCGGAATGCTCTTTGATTGTAGGTGAACTATAAATCCCAACAACTCCAACTCCCAAATGACAAAATCAATTTTTTTGAGTAAAGGACATACATTGGGTTTTTAGGTGTCTTGTGTCCAAATTTGGTGCCAATTCATCCAGTGGTTTTTGAGTTCTGTTAATCCAACAAACGAACATTACTTTTTTATTTATATAGATTTGAGATCCCGCCTTGGGAACCACTGTTCTAATCACATTCTAATTGCCATTGCACAGCCCCATAATGCCACATCGTTGTGAAACCTTAGAGTTCAATACAGAATCAAGGCTCTCTCTCAGCCTACTTGTCCTCAGCGGGAATTATTATAGCCAGTCAGTAGCCTTTATTTCGGTCAGCGAAGGAATTATTATGAAATTCTTCCAAAGCAGGGAGAAAGAAAGAGGGCAACCCAACACCCTCTGGAGCACCTTCCTATCTATCCGCCCCTTCACATCTCCCCTCTTCCTTTCAGTCTGATGGTGTGGCACGCAGTCCGAAAGGTGCCAGTGCCGGGGAGCCCACCCCACCTCCTCCGGCCCAAGGTGCTGTCTTGCACTTCTTCACCCGCTTGCGCCGCCACGCCAGCCTGGAAGGGGCCAGCCCCTACTTCAAGATCAAGAGGTGGAAGCTGGAGAGCAGCCAGCGGGCCTCCAGCCTGGACACGAGAGGTGGGCTGGAAGGACACTGCATTCTTCTTATGTTTGTTTATACCTCACATTTTATTTATTTGTTTTTTTGTTTCTAAGTGTTTGCAGACCACTTCCTTAAGATGTCTGTGTGTCAAGTTTGGTCCTGATCAGTCATTGGTGAGAGTCACAGTGATTGAAAGTACTGCATATCCCATCATCCATGGTCCATCCTCCCCCAAACTCCACCAGGACATGAGGTGTATCATGGGGTGTCTGTGTACCAAATAGAGTCCAGATGCATCTTTCATGAGGGTCACAGTGGTCTGTGGGAGCTCAATCGGGTGACGGTACTACAAATCATCCGTGGTACGTCCTCCCCCAAACTGCACCAGGATGTAAAGTGGGTCACGGTGGCTCTCTGTGCCAAGTTTGGTCTTGATCCATTATTGGTGTGGGTCGCAGTGGTCTCAGGAAGTGAGTGAAGATACTGCAAGTCCCATCATCCATGGTCCATTGTCCTCCAAACTGCACAAGGCTGTAGAGTGGGTCATGGGGGCTCTGTGTGCCAAGTTTGGTCCTGATCTGTCCTTGGTGGGGGTCTCAGTGGTCTCAGGAAGTGAGTAAAGGTACTGCAAGTCTCATCATCCATTGTCTGTCCTCCCCCAAATCGCACCAGGACGTAAAGTGGATCGGGCGGGGGGTGGGGGGGGGGGCAGGTCTGTGTGCCAAGTTTGGTGTCACAGTGATCTGTTTATTTATTTATTTATTTATTTATAGCTTTTATATTCCGCCTTTCTCACCTTTCAGGGGACTCAGGGCGGATTACCGTGTACACATATATGGCAAACATTCAGTGCCAATTTTTTTGACATACAAACATATACAGACATACACCAGAGGCTATTTAACTTTTTCTGGCCGCCAGGGGAGGTGTCGCTTTCATCGTCCATCTGCGACGCTGATGAAGCACTTCCGCATTCCCCGCATGCTTCCCTGCTGGAATGCTTTGCTGGAGTCTTCTTTATGGCCTCATAAATCAGTTAATTTAGCCTCCTCACACTTTAAGGTGGTACCTTATTTTCCTACTTGACAGATGCAACTGTCTTTCGGGTTGCAAAGGTCGACAACAAGCTACACAATTGGTTGGAATTTCACTCCGACCAGGTCTGGCTTCGAACTCATGACCTTTTGGTCAAAAGTGATCTTAATGCAGCTGACACTCAGACAGCTGCGTCACAGTGGAAGAGTGTCCTGGGTGGGAGAAAGAACTCCTGTCTGTTTGAGAAAGGTGTGAATGTTGCAATTGGCAACCTTGATTAGCATTGAATAGCCTAGCAGTTTCAAGGTCTGGCTTCTTTCTGCCTGGGGGAAGTGATTAGCTGGCCCTGATTGTTTCTTGTCTGGAATTCCCCAGTTTTTGGGTGTTGGTCTTTATTTACTGTTATTATTTTACAGGTTTTTTTAAATACTGTTAGCCATATTTCATTCATTTTCATGGCTTCCTTCTGAAATTGTCCACATGCTTGTGGATTTCAATGGCTTCTCTGTGTAGTCTGACATGGTGGTTGTGAGAGTGGTCCAGCATTTCTGTGTTCTCAAATAATATGCTGTGTCCAGGTTGGTTCATCAGGCACTCTGCTATGGCTGACTTCTCTGGTTGAAGTAGTCTGCAGTGCCTTTCATTGATTCCTTGATTCATGTTTGGGCAATGCTGCATTTGGTGGAATTCCAAACAAGAAATCACCTCCCAACAAAGGATCCCCCTAGGCAGTAAGAAGCCAGACCTTGAAAACTGCAAGGCCATTAAATGCTAATTAAGGTGGCCAATTGCAATATTCACCCCTACCTCCAACAGACAAGAGTTCTTTCTCCCACCCTGGACATCATTCCACAGGTATATAAACCCAACTTGCCTCATTTCCAACAGACCTTACAACCTCTGAAGGTGCCTACCATAGATGCAGGTGAAACATCAGGAGAGACTGCTTCTGGAACATGGCCAGACAGCTCAGAAAATTCACAACAACCTAGTGATTACAGCCATGAAAGCCTTTGATAATATATTATTATGTTTATTTATACCGCGCTTTTTCTCCCCACAAGGAGACTCAAAGTGGCTACATATCCATTATTAGCATTAGAAATTATTATTATTATTATTATTATTATTATTATTATTATTATTATTATGTTTATTATTAAGTTTATTTATACCCTGCTTTTTCTCCCCACAAGGAGACTCAGTGGCTACATATCCATTATTAGTATTAGAAATCCTTATTATTACTATTATTATTATTATTGTTTATTATTATGTTTATTTATACCCTGCTTTTTCTCCCCACAAGGAGACTCAAAGTGGCTACATATCCATTATTAGTATTAGAAATTATTATTATTATTATTATTATTATTATTATTATTATTGTTTATTATTATGTTTTATACCACGCTTTTTCTCCCCACAAGGAGACTCAAAGTGGCTACATATCCGTTATTAGTATTAGAAATTATTATTATTATTATTATTATTATTATTATTATTATTATTATTTGATTCATACCCTACTTTTTCTCTCCACAAGGAGACTCAGAGCGGCTGAAGGCTGTGGATCGGTCCCCAAGTTTTAGGTTGGCCACTCTTGACCGGCAGAGAGGTCTTGCCAAGACAAGGGTCTTTCCTTGTCCATCAAACACCTAGGGTCCTTCCTCGATACATAATTACAGCACCCTTTCCTTTTCCCTTTCAACACCCAGGTTCCCCGAAACGGCACCAGTTCCAGCGCCAGAGGGCCGCCAGCGAAAGCATGGACCAGGAAGACCGGGATGCGCACCAGACGGACATCATCCAGTACATCGCCCGGACTGACGACGTGGTTTTCCGCCCCACGGCCGGACCCCTCCTCCCGGCCCCTGCCAGCCCCACATTATCTCTCGGCAGGTATTTTTCTGTAGATAAGTGGGAACGGGGGGCGGTGGGATGTGAGCATGTGCAGAGTGTTTTCACCCTTTAGCTAACCATGTGACCTCAATGAATAATGGGGACCAAGTCGACACAAATGAGCCAAATTTGGAATCTGGCAGCACACAGAGCTTGAAAGTAAATACTTGTAAGGAAGTATTATTTGAGAAAGACATTGTGTGCCAAAGTTGGTGTTTATCAGTTATTTATGAGGCTCGCAGTGGTTTCAGGAAGTTAGTGAAGGGACTGCGAGTCCCATCATCCATGGTCCATCCTCCTTGAAACTGCACCAGGATGTAGAATGCGTCACGGGGGCTCTGTGTGCTAAGTTTGGTCTTGATCAATCATTGGATGAGGATTGCAGTGGTCTCAGAAAGTGAATGAAGGTACTTCAAGTCCCATTATCCACGGTCCATCCTCCTCGAAACTGCACCAAGATGTAGAGTGGGTCATGGGGGCTCAGTGTGCTAAGTTTGGTCTTGATCACTCATTGGATGAGGATTGCAGTGGTCTCAGAAAGTGAATGAAGGTACTTCAAGTCCCATCATCCACGGTCCATCCTCCTCGAAACTGCACCAAAATGTAGAGTGGGTCATGGGGGCTCAGTGTGCTAAGTTTGGCCTTGATCAATCATTGGATGAGGATTGCAGTGGTCTCAGAAAGTGAATGAAGGTACTTCAAGTCCCATCATCCACGGTCCATCCTCCTCGAAACTGCACCAAGATGTAGAGTGGGTCATGGGGGCTCGGTGTGCCAAGTTTGGTCTTGATCACTCATTGGATGAGGGTCGCAGCAGTCTCGAGAAGTGAGCGGAGATACTTCAAGTCCCATCATCCGTGGTCCACCCTCCTCCAAACTGCAGTAGGATGTAGACTGGGTCATGGGAGCTCTGTGTGCCAAGTTTGGTCTTAGTTGGGGGCCACAGTGGTCTGTGGGAACCAAAGGGTTTGAAAGTCCTACAAATCCCATCATCCTTTGTCCGTCCTCCCTCAAACCGCACCAGGATGTAAAGTGGGTCATGGGTCGCCTCTGGCTGAGAAAGGCGGTATACAAACGCAGCAAATAAATAAATAAATAAATGGGGGTTATGTGTGCCAAGTGTGGTCCAGGTCCATCACCCATGCTGGTCACAGTGGCCTGTGAAAGTGGCAGCCAATCAGAAAGCTGCCACATACACCTCCCTCCATCCTCCACATACAAACATTCTCTTTTATTATATGGATAGATATATGGTACAACAATCTGCATTAATAGGATGATCTCTCTGGGCTCAGTAGCAGACTGCTTGCTGAAGCTTTCCCCCTATCCCCTGGTGTTTGTATGGGGTGAGGGAGACCCACAGACTATTGCTGGTTTGTGCTGGGGGAGAGAGACCCACAGCAGCCACAGCTTTACTTCTTCCCCGAGGACACACAATACCTAAAGCCTCAGCTTGCAGCATGCACAGAATAACCAGGACTGACAGGGGGAGACGAAGTTGTACGCTGCATAGCCACACATATCACTATGTCTTATTTTTGGGGTATGGCTTATATTGCGCTATGGCTTATTTTATGGGTATGTCTTATTTTTGGGGAAACTGGGTAGTTACTTTTAATGGCACTTGTAAGCGGTTAAGAACTGACAAGTTTAAAAGGCGATACAGCTTAATTCTAACTAGTTACCTGGATTATGCATGTTGCATCGTTGGTGCATCTATATTGCAGAAGGAACGCAGTTTGATGATACCGCCCGCTCAATGCTATGGGATCATGGGACTTGTATTATTCGATGTCTTAACAGGCATGGGCCAACTTTGTCCCTCCCTTCGGGTATTTTGGTCTTCAACTCCCCAACAGCCGATTTATTATCGTAACTACTACTATTATTATATTATATATTATTATGATATTAGGAATTGTGGGAGTTGAAGTCCAAAACACCTGGAGGGAGGGCCGAAGATGGCTCATGCCTGGTCTATACCTTCCTCTGCCCGAGTGTTGGTACCTCACCAAATTGCAACTCCCATAATTCTATCGCAATGAGCAAAGGCGCAATGAGGTTGAAGTGCATTCATTTCATGCTTGGCTCTCAAGAGTAAATGGTCCGTCTTGCTTCCTTCCCGGCTACAGGATAGAGCCTCCCGAGCCGCCCCCCTCCCCCCCAGCCGAGCCCCCAGCTTTGGAACAGCCCCCTGCCCCCCTTTATCATGACATATGGAGTCTACGGGCCTCGCTGGAGATGTACGCTGCCTCCACCTCGCCCCCTGCGGAGCAAGGCAACGACCGGGAGTCCATCCGCAGCGATGATGGCGGGGACAGCCTCTCCTCCAGCGGTGGCCTTCCCAGCTTCCCTTCCTCCCTGGCGGACGAAGTCGAAGAAGACCGGCCGTGGGGGAAACCCAAGCAGGACAGTGTGGAGTCAGAATCTGGCACCCGCAAGCTCTTGCAGATGGACAGTGGCTACGCCTCCATCGAGGCGCCCGGTGGCCGAGTGGGTGAGGACCAAACGGCTTCAGAGAAACGGTTCTGCTTCACCAGCGCCGGACGCAAGGCCACCATCTTCGAGAGCTTCGAGGGCCAGGAGCTGGAGGAAGAGGAGGAAGGTGCAGCAGGTGGGCTTCCCCCACACAGTCCACTAGTTTGGGCCCCGTATGGGCAGCTCTTCCCCACCCGGGAGGCCCCGCCCCGCCGGGACTACAGCATTGACGAGAAGACAGACGCCCTCTTCAACGCCTTTGTGCGCCATGACCCCCAGTTCGATGAGTCTCCACTGCGGGCCAAACACCGGTCCCGGACACACCTGCGGAAGCAGTGGCAGCGCACCAAGCAGTACAGCGACCCTGGGGTCCGCTACCCACCAGCCCTTGAGCGGCACCGGACCCCCTTGCGGCGTGGTGACAGTGTCAACTACCCTCCAGACGGCCGCTTCCATGGAACCCTGCCCCGCATCATCAGCACCGGAGATGAGGAGGCCGTGCCACCGGCTGAGGAAAGTGCAGACACAATCCAGGTCATTGAGGAGGAACCGCCAGAGGAAGGCAAAGCGGCGCCTGGAATGTTTGGGGGTGAATGCCTCGAGGATGGTCAATGCCCTGGCCTAGGCCGCCTCAGCCCTGAAGTGATGGACAAGATCACCGGAGGGCTGGAGGAAAGGTTCTACATGCACTTGAAAAAACCACGAGAGAGCCCCGAGCGGGTGGCGGTGGCGGCAGAGGCCTCTCCTGATCACAGCCCGGAGTAGTGGGAGCAGGGACGCCAGGCCAGTCCATCTCCCTGTCTCTCTCAATCTCCCCAGTGCTGGCGGGGCCCAAGCAGAGTTTGCCAGCTCAACGGGGGGCCTTGGGCAAGCCGAAGGGGCAAGGGGCCACCTCGGAAGAGTACGAGTGGTGCTCTCCGACCACAGCTGAGCAGAGGAAGTCACATCCGACCGGAAGCGCCCTCTGCCATTCCGGGTTCAGGCCGGGATGCCCTTCTCGATCCAAGGGTTGGAGGGTGCCCTCACTGGGCCCGGTCCCACGGATATCTGGGTGCCCGTCGCCGTCAGTAGGGGTTCTCCGTCCCTCTTTGGCAGCCTCTGAAAAGGGGAGGGAGGTCCTGACCCCAGTCAGTCAGGCCTTCTCTCCCCTGCCTGCCTGATACCCGCAGTCAAGGACACGAGTGTGACGCCTCACGGAGGCTTGGCATTTACCTCAGACATCTAAAGAGCTGGTTGTAGCAAACGTTCATGACTCCTCTGTCTCTGTGCACTCTCGGTATCTCTCTCTCTGGTTTTTAAAAGCAATAACCAAGGCCTTTCCTCCTCCTCCTCCTCCCCACTTGCCATCTTTCCTCAAACGTTCTTGTGGCGGGAGGCGGCAGTGTCTTGCCTTCCAGACGGGACAAAAAGACAAGAACGATGCCTCCATCCCCTCCAGTGACTTTGTCCCTTGTTCGTTGGATGGGTTTCCTTTCCAGGGGGAAGATGCTCAACCCAGGATGCACCTTTCCTTCCTTTCGCCTTCCTCTCATCCCTTTAGGACTCGGCCCGACCTTGCACTGCCCGTTCCTCCATTTCCCTAGCAATGCTCCTTTCTCCTCTCCCCCAATTCCAAGTTGGGTATAGCTTCGCTGGGATGCTGTTGCATTACGGATGAGAAGAGGAGATGGGCAAAGTTGCTCAACAGTTTGAAGTTTTGGTTTCCGCATGAAGTCGAAGTTTCTAGTTCTCATAAGGCCTGGATCCTTAAAGGACGCTCTCGTCTCTATCCGTGAGAAAGGAAAGGGGGGGGGGGGGGTTCAAAGCAGTGGCCATGGACACATTATCCACACTGTTCAAACTCCAAACGCATGTCTGTCCTTATTCTGATATGCCTCCCCAATACAAGCAAAGCAGGTGCGTGATTTTAGTGTATTTTAAATATATATTTATTTGTGTGTTATTATTTTTAAATACAGAAAGCAATGCATTTTGTTGCACATTTGGAAGCCGATATTGGTGATGGGATTAATTTTTCTTTAATATTTAATTTAATTAGGGGCAGAGGTCTCCAGCTATCCCTACAATGAGGGGTGGAAATGTCCGTGAATGTGCCAACGCCTTTGGTTGCATACAAATTTTATTGTTTTGTGCTTGAGATATTTGCATGCCAATGCAGAGTGCATTCGGTTGGGTATTTTTGTGGGGGACTATGTATTGGGATGCGGGTCTGCTGAGGTTTTGAAGGGGGCTCTGATCTGATCTTCCAAGTGCTGAAGAGTCAGCGAGAGGAAGAAACAACGTTCCAAACACAACGAAAGAAGGACGAAAGTGAGAATTTCGGCATAGAGATGTGCATTCCAATTTCCTGTGCTATTTTCTCATCTCACTCTTGATCGCCCTTTTCCTTAAAGCCGGGTCTTGGCTGGGGGCGAGCAAAGCTGCTCTGTGGCCAGTGTCCAAAACCAAAACCCCACAAACCTCTTTTTGGAAGAAAACAAAAACTTTATTAAAAACAACGTGCCAATAAGTTGTGTGTGGCTGGTTCTTCATGACTCGGAGAAATGGGGCTGCAGTGGGAATCTGGGCCGAAACGGACAAAGCTTTTGCTTACTTACTTAGGTGATTCCTCATAGCCCGAGGATGATGGTCCGCAAGTGGCTGTGGGGACCTATTCTTGACCCGCATGTTCTCCCGCAGTGAGGATATTGGTTTCCAGGATGAAGGCGGTCCCGGTCAGGGTTGGCTTGATGTGCCTTCCTCTTGGCACATTTCTCCCTCTTGGCCTCCATTTGTGCTTCTTCAATTCCGCAGCACTGCTGGTCACAGCTGACCTCATTAGAGCACTCAAGGGCCAGGGCTTCCCAGTTCTCAGTGTCTATGCCAGTTTGTAAGGTTGGCTTTAAGCCCATCGTTAAATCTCTTTTCCTGTCCACCAATATTACATTTCCCGTTCTGCTTTGGGAGACAGTGATCAGGCATTCGGACAACGTGGCCTTCAGTCCAGCAGAGTTGATGACGTAGGAGCATCACTTCAGTGCTGGTGGTCTTTGCTTCTTCCAGCACGCTGACATTTGTCTGCCTGTCTTCCCAAGCAGAGATCTGCAGGATTTTTGTGACGTCTGTAGACAGTCCACATTTTACAGGCGTATAACAGGGTTGGGAGGGCAATCTATATATATAAAAATGCTCTGTGCATAATGAGTACCTTAAAAACAAAAGAACCAATGAACGAAATCATACAAAATTTGGCAACAAAACGTCTCACAACACAAGGAGTGACCATCACTAAAAAAATATATGATTTTGTCATTTGGGAGTTGTAGTTGCTGGGATTTATAGTTCACCTACAATCAGAGCATTCTGAACTCTATCAACGATGGAATTGCACCAAACTTGGCACACAGAACTCCCATAACGAACAGAAAATACTGGATGGGTTTGGTGGGCATTGACCCTGAGTTTGGGAGTTGTAGTTCACCTACATCCAGAGAGCACTGTGGACTCAAACAATGATGGATCTGGACCAAATCTTTGATACTGCATCTGTCATATACATATACGTGTGTGTGGCATGAATACTCAATATGCCCAAATATAAACACAGATGGAGTTTGGGGGAAATAGACCTTGACATTTGGGAGTTGTAGTTACTGGGATATATAGTTCACCTACAATCAAGGAGCATTCCGAACCCCATCAACGACAGAATTGGGCAAACATCCCACACAGAACCCCCATGACCAACAGAAAATTTTGTGTTTTCAGGTGGTCTTTGGTGACCTTTCTGACACTCCCCTGGTGGCCCTCCTCCGGGGTCTTGACTTCCCAGGTTGAGAAATGCTGCCTTAAGGCCATCCAGTCCAACTCCCTTCACCAGGGCAAGAAAACATAATCAAAGCCCTCCTGACAAAGAGCCATCTAGCTATTCACACACACACATATATATGTATATGACAGATGCAGTATCAAAGATTTGAAAGGGACCCCTAAAGAAGGGCAATGATATGTTGCGTTCCAGAGTAGGCAAACCAGACAATCTCCACATCAACACTGGCAAAGAAACAGCAAGAAATACTGTTTATCCACAAGCAGAAAGACATTACATATATTAGAAACCAACACTTTCTCATTACTTTATTTTCCAGATCACCAGACTGGGCCACAGCAACGCGTGGCAGGGGACCGCTAGTAGCTTTATAAACAAGCCCCTTGGTCTCCCTATAGATGTCCCAATCCTCAAACACTCTCTGCTTCATTCAGAAAACGGAACTCACAGAGCTCAGGCGGTGTTGTATTTCAGTGTCAATGTTGAATTTTGTGGAGAAGTGGCTGCCAAAGTGGCTGGAAATGATCAACGTTTTCTAATGTTACCCCAATAAGCTGCATTTCTGGCATTGCAGATGGATTGGCTGGTGAGTACTGGGAGAGCACTTTGGTTTTCTCGATGTTCAATGAGAAGCCGAGCTTCTTGTACGCTTCTGCAAAGGTGTTTAGAGTGGCGTGTAGGACTTCTTCTGAATGCGCACAGACTACATTATCATCAGCATATTGGAGGTCTATAATAGATGTTACTGTGAGCTTGGTTTTGGCTTTCAGTCTGCTTTTGCTATTCTGGTACAACAAAGTCCAACTTCAAGGAAAGTAACAGGTAATAAAATTTCTCCAATGGCTGTAACATCTCTTCGGATATTTAAAGATCAGTACCCTGCCGCTTCGCATAATGGTTTTGAGAGTTGGGCTCTGGGTCTGGAGAGAGACCAGGTTTCAAATCCATAGTCAGTCACAGTCAAATTGGAAAAGTCACACACTTAAAGGCATGTAACTATCACAATGCCGTTACCTCTCATTCTTCTCTTCACACTTGATTCTTTTTCATGAAACCCAGGCAACTTGTCCTTCCCAAAGCTGCAAAACTTGCTTTCTGGGCCTTTAATTATCCTGCTTGCCCTTCTGTGGATCTGCGCCAATCACTAGACTCTAAGGAGAGACATTTCAACCCTGAAGAGCAGGAAGGAAAGCTGCACTAACAAGTTGAGAAGACTTGTCCATGACGGTGTTGCAAGGAACTGGGTGCAAAGAGCCAGGCAGAAAGCCTGGTGGGCCATACACACACACACACTAGCCATCCCCTGCCACACCTTGCTGTGGCCCACTCTGGTGGTCATGGGGGTTCTGTGTGGGAGGTTTGGCCCAATTCTATCGGTGGTGGGGTTGAGAATGCTCTGTGATTGTAGGTGAACTATAAATCCCAGCAACTACAACTCCCGAATGTCAAGATTCTATTTTCCCCAAACTCCACCAGTGTTCACATTTGGGCATCTTGAGTATTCGTGTAGAGCAGTGGTTCTCAACCTGGGGGTCGGGACCCCTGGAGGGGTCACCAAGGAGTGTCAGAGGGGTCACTAAGGACCACCAGAAAACACAGTATTTCCTGTTGGTCATGGGGTTCTATGTGGAAAGTTTGGCCCAATTCTGTCATTGGTGGGGTTCAGAATGCTCTTTGATTGTAGGTGAACTACTAATCCCAGCAACTGCAACTCCCAAAATGTCAAGGACTATTTTCCCCAAACTCCACCAGTGTTCACATTTGGGCATATTGAGTATTCATGCCAAGTTTGGTCCAGATCCATCATCGTTTGAGTTGACAGCGGTCTCTGGATGTATGCGAACTACAACTTCAAAATACAAGGTCAATGCCCACCAAACCCTTCCAGTATTTTCTGTTGGCCATGTTCTTTGTGCCAAGTTTGGTTCAATTCCATCGTTGCTAGAGTTCAGAATGCTCTTTGATTGCAAGTAAACTACAAATCCCAGCAACCACAACTCCCAAATGACCATATCAAGCCACCACCACCACCCCCAACCCCACCAGTATTCAAATTTGGGCGTATTGGGTATTTGTGCCAAATTTGGTCCAGTGAATGAAAATCCATCCTGCATATCAGATATTTACATTATGATTGATAACAGTATCAAAATTACAGTTATGAAGTAGGAAGGAAAATAATTTTATTGTTGGGGGTCACCCACCACAACATGCGGAATTGTATTAAGGGGTTGCAGCATGAGGAAGGTTGAGAACCCCTGGTGTAGAGTTTGGTCCAGATCCATCATTGTTTGAGTCCACAGTGCTCTCTGGATGGAGGTGAACTACAACTCCAAAACCAAAGGACACTGCCCACCAAACCCTTCTAGTATTTTCTGTTGGTCATGGGAGAACTGTGTGCCAAGTTTGGTTCAATTCCATCGTTGGTAGGATTCAGAATGCTCTTTGATTGTAGGTGAACTATAAATCCCAGCAACTACAACTCCCAAATGACAAAATCATTTTTTTGAGTGAAGAACATACATTGGGTTGTTAGGTGTCTTGTGTCCAAATTTGATGTCAATTCATCCAGTGGTTTTTGAGTTCTGTTAATCCCACAAACGAACATTACATTCATATTTATATTTGTGTGTGTGTGTGTGTGTGTGTGTGCGTGGCTTGCGGCACCATATGGTGCAAGCAGAGCATTCAAATAAAATGGCTCCAAGTCTCAATTCTAGTTGGCACAGTTGCTGAAGAAAAAGAAACTAATGTACGGCATCGACAACACACCACATCTAAAGTGACGCTTGGTAGCAACTCTCAGCTGCAGCAGAAACCACAATGCACTTTTAGTGGCTTTGTTTACTCTGCACTTAGTTTTTCCCAGCAGTAAAAACTCCTGTTTCATGGTTTTAATAGCCACAAAAACAGAGACTCTGGGTGTGTGTGAGGCACCCAACATGGTGCTTCCCTGCTCCACACACACACACACAGACACAGATCTGAACATCCCACGATAACAGGCAAGGGCAAACTTTCTATCTTGGGGGCTACATGCTAGCACTGCCTGCTAAGAGAACTGGCTTCTGGTGATGGAAGGAAGGAAAGAAGCCCTCACAACCTCTGAGGATGCTTGCCATAGATGCAGGCAAAACGTCAGGAGAGAATGCTTCTAGAACATGGCCATATAGCCCGAAAAACCTACAGAGGGAGGTAAGAAAGGGAGGGAGGGAGGTAAGGAGGAAGGAAAGAGAAGGAAGGAAGGATGAAAGGCTGGAAGGGAAGGATGGAAGAGAAGAAGGAAGGAAGGACAAAAGGGTGGACGGGAATGGGAGGGAGAAAGAGGGAGGGAAGAGAAGAGAAGGAAAGAAAAGAGTAGGAAGGAAGGAAGGAGAAAGAGGGAGAAAGGGAAGAAGAGAGGAAAGAGGGAAGGAAGGACAAAATGATGGAAGGGAAGAAAGGAGAAAGAGGGAGGGAAGGAAGAGAAGTGAAGGGAGGAAAGACGTAAGAATAGGAAGGAAGGAGAAAGGGAAGAAGAGAGGAAAGAGGGAAGGAAGGACAAAATGATGGAAGGGAAGAAAGGAGAAAGAGGGAGGGAAGGAAGGAGTGAAGGGAGGAAAGACATAAGAGTAGGAAGGAAGGAGAAAGGGAAGAAGAGAGGAAAGAGGGAAGGAAGGACTGATGGAAGGGAAGAAAGGAGAAAAGGAGAAAGAGGGAAGGAAGGAAGAAAAGAAAAGGAAGGAAAGACAAAAGAGAAGGAAGGAAGGAAGGAAGGAAGGAAGGAAGGAAGGAAGGAAGGAAGGAAGGAAGGAGAAAGAGGGAGAAAGGGAAGAAGAGAGGAAAGAGGAAGGATAGGAAGGATAAAATGATGGAAAGGAAGAAAGGAGAAAGAGGGAGGGAAGGAAGAAGTGAAGGGAGGAAAGACATAAAAGTAGGAAGGAAGGAGAAAGGGAAGAAGAGTGGAAAGAGGGAAGGAAGGACAAAATGATGGAAGGGAAGAAAGGAGAAAAGGAGAAAGAGGGAGGGAAGGAAGAAAAGAAAAGGAAGGAAAGACAAAAGAGAAGGAAGGAAGGAAGGAGAAAGAGGGAGAAAGGGAAGAAGAGAGGAAAGAGGGAAGGAAGGATACAATGATGGAAGGGAAGAAAGGAGAAAGAGGGAGGGAAGGAAGAAGTGAAGGGAGAAAAGACATAAGAGTAGGAAGGAAGGAGAAAGGGAAGAAGAGAGGAAAGAGGGAAGGAAGGACTGATGGAAGGGAAGAAAGGAGAAAGGGAGAAAGAAGGAGGGAAGGAAGAGAAGGAAAGACAAAAGAGTAGGAAGGAAGGAAGGAGAAAGGGAGAAAGGGAAGAAGAGAAGAAAGAGGGAAGGAAGGACAAAATGATGGAAGGGAAGAAAGGAGAAAGAGGGAGGAAAGGAAGAGAAGTGAAGGGAGAAAAGACATAAGAGTAGGAAGGAAGGAGGAAGAGAGGAAAGAAAGGACAAAATGATGGAAGGGAAGAAAGGAGAAAGGGAGAAAGAGGGAGGAAAGGAAGAAAAGGAGGAAAAGACAAAAGAGTAGGAAGGAAGGTAGGAGAAAGAGGGAGAAAGGGAAAAAGAGAGGAAAGAGGGAAGGAAGGACAAAATGATGGAAGGGAAGAAACGAGAAAGAGGGAGGGAATGAAGAATGAAAGAGGGAAGGAAGGAAGGATAGGATGGTGAGAGAGAGGAGGGCTTGAGATAAGAGCCCAAGGGGCTGCATCCATGGCCTGCTGTACGGGATTTCACCATCTATTCTATGTTTATTATCCATCCCAAACTCCCAGGACAGCTTCTCCCTGACTCACTCTTCTGTCTGAGAGCCTGCAGCTAGAAATAGGCCCTTTCCCTTGAGCTTTTTCCCAAAGCTAGCGCCACCAATGCCAACCTTCCCCCCTTGGTGCAGCAGGCATTGAGCAGAACAATTCCCATGATCCTCAGTAGCGGAGCACAATAGCCCTTTCATCAGCCAGTGTTTCCCGATATATATATTTTTGTCGTGTCAAGAGCGACCTGAGAAACTGCAAGTCGCTTCTGGTGTGAGAGAATTGGCTGTCTGCAAGGATGTTGCCCAGGGGACACCTGGATGATTTGATGTTTTTATCATCCTTGTGGGAGGCTTCTCTCATGTCCCGCATGAGGAGCTGAAGCTGATAGAGGGAGCTCATCCGCCTCTCCCCGGATTCAAACCTGCGACCTGTCGGTCTTCAGTCCTGCCGGCACAGGGGTGCAGGACAGGTGAGCTGCACCCCCCCCCCCCCAATCTTGCCGCCTGAGGCAACCGCCCACATTTGCCTCAAGATCAGGCCAAGTCACACAGCAAAGAGAAAGCTGCTCAAACCGGCCTTTTCTTTCTTCTTCCAGCATCCAAAGAAAAGTAAGCCCACTTTTGTCTTCCGGGGACAGCTCCACAAACAGGCTCCAAACCCGATCTCTCCTTTTTAACTTTATTTTCATTTTTTTAAAAAGAAAGGGAAAAAGGAAGGAAGGAAGGAAGAAAAGGAAAGGAAAGGAAGAAGAAAACCAAAACCCCACTCGTTTCCCTTTACTCCAGCCCTTTTATAAACAGCATGCAGACTTGTTTCTCCATTTTATTATTCACGGTTTTGCTTTACGGTTTGCAATTTTACGGTGGGCACTGCGTTTGCCCTGCGTTCAACACCAAGTGTGATCTCCCCCGCATCCTGAACCCGCTTCGGCTCCTTGAAATGATCCCCATCGCTTTCCATTTCCAAAGGCCTCAAACACTCCTCCCCACCTGCCCCTGGCTCCAGGTGTTTTTAAAAAATCTTTTCAAATACATCACAATGTGGAAGAAATAGAGAGATTGAAAAATAGATAAAGGAAAAAAACAAAACGAAAAAGAGGGGGGAGGGGCTCAAGAAAAGGGGAAAATATATATAATATAATATATATATTATATATATATATATAACAGTAGTTACTACATAAAGTGCGTGTTTGGATGGCTTGCTAAACGATTCTCACACACCCAGGAAGGCAAGAGATGGATTCCTGTAGAAAGGAGCCCTGTCCGTCTCCCGCACCCGGACCCCGCCATCCGGCCCCAACAGGAATACCTTCCCCCATCTGTCTGTCCCTACAGAGTCCCGATCAGCGGCCAGCCGAAGCGCAGAATTGTCCGAGAAAGGATCGCCAAACCTTTCTCGTCCGTCCCACAAGAGGACACCTCGAAAGTGGTGCAAAGGAGGAGTCCAGACAGCATCAGGAGGAAGGGAAGGAAGGGAAGGGAAGAAGTTTCCGTGCGGCGCCCCCCTACCCTCCGTTCCAGGTTCATCACTTTTCCAAAGTCTTTTCTTTCTCTTTCTTCTTCCGTCTGTTGATTGTAAGCGTGTTCTATACGGAACGTCTGCCTACGGGAAGGGAAGGGAGGCGGGAGAAGAGGCGAAGGAGGAGGTTCCGGCTGCAGACAAGGAAGACATGAAAATAGAGGTGTTATTCCCTTTATTTTTATGTTCGTCGACACTCTGCCTTTCTGCCAAGATGGTTAAACAGAAGTGGGATTTTATTTATTTATTTATTTATTTAAAACCTTTATATCCCGATCTTCTCTACCTCCGCAGAGGGACTCAGACCAGCTGACAGCAAAGATTCAATGCTAACACTAAAAATCTAAAACATAATAATGGGTTGTTGTAGGTTTTTTCGGGCTATATGGCCATGGTCTAGAGGCATTTTCTCCTGACGTTTCGCCTGCATCCCCGGAGTGTGGTGGAGGCTCCTTCTTTGGAAGCTTTTAAGCAGAGGCTGGATGGCCATCTGTCAGGGGTGATTTGAATGCAATATTCCTGCTTCTTGGCAGGGGGTTGGACTGGATGGCCCATGAGGTCTCTTCCAACTCTTTGATTCTATGATTCTATGATTCTATGATTCTATGGCAAGCATCCTCAGAGGTAGTGAGGTCTGTTGGAACTAGGAAAAAGGGTTTATATACCTGTGGAATGACCAGGGTGAGACAAAGGACTCTTGTCTGCTGGAGCTATCAGGCCATTATATGCTAATCAAGGTGATCAGTTGAAACATTCACACCTAGCTCCAGCAGACAAGAGTCCTTTGTCTCACCCTGGTCATTCCACAGATAAGAAGCAGACTTTCCAGCAGACAAGAAAAAGGATTTATATATTTGGAAAAAAGATTTATATATCTAGGAAAAAGGATTTATATATCTGTGGAATGACCAGGGTGAGACAAAGGACTCTTGTCTGCTGGAGCTATCAGGCCATTATATGCTAATCAAGGTGATCAGTTGAAACATTCACACCTAGCTCCAGCAGACAAGAGTCCTTTGTCTCACCCTGGTCATTCCACAGATACATAAATCCTTTTTCCCAGTTCCAACAGACCTCACTACCTCTGAGGATGCTTGCCATAGATGTAGGTGAAACGTCAGGAGAAAATGCCTCTAGACCAGTGGTTCTCAACCTGTGGGTCCCCAGGTGTTTTGGCCTACAACTCCCAGAAATCCCAGCCAGTTTACCAGCTATTAGGATTTCTGGGAATTGAAGGCCAAAACATCTGGGGACCCATAGGTTGAGAATCACTGGTCTAGACCATGGCCATATAGCCCCAAAAAAACTACAACAACTCAGTGATTCCAGCCATGAAAGCCTTCGACAATACATAAAACATCATACATCAACATTAAATTACCAAATACACATAGGATAAATTACATAAATGCCGTTTGCCAAGATAAAATCGTGTCCAACTCAGTCCGTATATTCAGTCCATATATTGTGGTCAGTAACTTCGGTCGATTGCCGGTCTCAGACATCATTCCGCAAAAGCTTTGTTCCACAGCCAGGTTTTCACTAGCTTCCTAAAGGTCAGGAGGGAGGGGGCAGATCTAATTTCATTTGGGAGGGAATTCCATAGCCGAGGGGCCATCACAGAAAAGGCCCTGTCTCTCGTTCCCACCAGACATGCCTGCGAAGGTGGCGGGACCGAGAGCAGGGCCTCTCCAGACGATCTTAACACTCTTGATGATTCATAGGGCGACTAAAATGATCAAGGGTCTGGAGAACAAGCCCTATGAGGAGCGGCTTAAGGAGCTGGGCATGTTTAGCCTGAAGAAGAGAAGGCTGAGAGGAGACATGATAGCCATGTATAAATATGTGAGAGCAAGCCACAGGGAGGAGGGAGCAAGCTTGTTTTCTGCTGCCCTGGAGACTAGGACGCGAAACAATGGCTTCAAACTACAAGAAAAGAGATTCCATCTGAACATGAGGAAGAACTTCCTGACTGTGAGAGCCGTTCAGCAGTGGAACTCTCTGCCCCAGAGTGTGGTGGAGACTCCTTCTTTGGAAGATTTTAAACAGAGGCTGGATGGCCATCTGTCAGGGGTGCTTTGAATGCAATATTCCTGCTTCTTGGCAGGGGGTTGGACTGGATGGCCCATGAGGTCTCTTCCAACTCTTTGATTCTATGATTCTATGATAGGGGAGAATACGTTTGGACAGGTAACATTCAGTGTGGATGGCTTTTTTTTTTCTTATGGAAACAAAGTAACCCCAAGTTACGATCAAAGATTGGTTCTGTTAGTTTGGTCTTCAGTTGAATTTGTATGTAAGGTGGAACAGGTACATCTTTTAAGTGTAACTCATACTGTGTTTCCCCGAAAATAAGACATCCCCTGAGAATAAGACCTAATAAGAGGTTTTGATGAATTTCTAAATATAAGCCCTCCCCCTGAAAGTAAGACCTAGCAAAGTTTTTGTTTGGAAGCATGCTCCCCCTGGTGGCTGGAAGCTGCAATACCATCCCTGCTGTGTAAGTGGTCCAGGAACTGCTGTGAGAGGTTGTTACAGTTTCCAGACAGTGTGTGGGAGCCAGGGACTTCACGGCCCTTGTTTTTTGTGGCCCTGTATATTTATTATATACTGACAACTACTGTACAGTATAGAATAAATGTTCTTTTTTTTTGTTCAGCTACAAATGTGAATTCTTCCTTCATGGAAAAATAAAACATCCCCTGAAAATAAGACCTAGCGCATGGGTTGTTGTAGGTTTTTTCGGGCTATATGGGCATGTTCTAGAGGCATTCTCTCCTGATGTTTCGCCTGCATCTATGGCAAGCATCCTCAGAGGTAGAGAGGTAGACCTCACTACCTCTGAGGATGCTTGCCATAGATGCAGGCGAAATGTCAGGAGAGAATGCCTCTAGAATATGGCCATATAGCCCGAAAAAACCTACAACAACCCAGTGATTCCGGCCATGAAAGCGTTTGACAATACAGACCTAGCTCATTTTTGGGAGCAAAAATTAATATGACACTCTTATTTTCGGGGAAACAGGGTACAGGCCCCCCTGGTGGCACAGAGGGTTAAACTACTGAGCTGCTGAACTTGCTGGTGGTTTAAATCCAGGGAGCAAGGTGAGCTCCCACTGTTAGCCACAGCTTCTGCCAACCTAAAAGTTCAAAAACACAGAAATGTGAGTAGATTAATAGCTACCACTTCTGCAGGAAGCTAATGGTGTTCCATGCAGTCATGCCGGTTGCATGACCTTGGAGGTGTCTATGGACAATGCCAGCTCGTCAGCTTCGAAATGGAGATAAGCACCACCCAGAGTTGGACATGACTAGACTTAATGTCAAGGGGAAACCTTGACCTTTAAGGAGGCACCTTCTTTGGAGGCTTTGAAACAGAGGCTGGATGGCCATCTGTTGGGGGTGCATTGAATGTGATTTTCCTGCTTTTTGGCAGGGGGTTGGACTGGGTGGCCCACAAGGTCTCTTCCAACTCTATGATTCTCTCACTCTCTCTATATGTTTTGGATGGCATAGAGAAGGGTTGACACCCCTGTGGTGTTTCCTTTGCTGCCTGTACCCCTCTTCACATCACTTCCTGCCCTGGTGAGAATTGTCTTTTGAACCATTTGGCTTGCTGTGGAGACAAGGATTGGGGATACAGCTTCAGTTGAGACCCCGTTTCCCCATGATAATAACTCTTTCAGGAGTCACTACCATCATTAATCAATAATAATTATTGATTAATTAATGATTGGATGGAATAATCTGTTACTTTTTTTATCTCGCCTGAGTTTTAATCAGTTTTTGATCAGTCTCTTTTAACCATTACATGTAGCCTGCCCATTGTCATTGTGATTGTGCTTATTGTGATTGTGTCTATTGTAATTTTATATTGCTATGTTTTTCACATGTTCTATGTAATTAAGTTTGCATTTTTGGTTTTATTTTATTGTAATTTGTTGTTTGGGCTTGGCCTTATGTAAGCCGCTCCGAGTCCCCACTAGGGAGATGGTGGTGGGGTATAAATAAAGATTATTATTGTTATTATTATTAGAGTCAATCTGTAAAAAGGCCTCACTAAAAGGGCCTAGTTGAGGCAATCCATCTAAAAACTCATTTTCTGGAAGTTTTTCAGCAGAGGCTGGATGGCCATTTATCAGGAGGGCTTAGATGGTGTCTTCCTGCCTGGCAGAAGGGGGTTGGACTCGATGGCCCTTGGAATCTCTTCCAAGTCTACAATTCCACCACTACTACTATTAATATACCTCACAAAGGTTGATTTGGCCGGGGTGGTCCATGCCTTGGTCACCTCTAGATTGGATTACTGTAATGCGCTCTACATGGGGCTGCCCTTGAAAACGGCTTGGAAATTCCAACTAGTTCAACGGGCGGCGGCTAGGATGTTAACTGGCGCTCCTTACAGAGAGAGGTCAACCCTCCTGTTTAAGGAGCTCCATTGGCTGCCGTTTACCTACCGAACCCAGTTCAAGGTGCAGGTGCTTACCTACAAAGCCCTAAACGGTTTGGGACCTGCCTACCTGCGTGACCGCATCTCCGTTTACGAACCCACGCGCTCACTTCGTTCATCCGGAGAGGCCCTGCTCGCGATACCACCTGCGTCACAGGCGCGTTTGGTGGGGACGAGGGACAGGGCCTTCTCTGTGGTTACCCCCCGACTTTGGAACACCCTCCCAAAAGACATTAGACTAGCACCCACGTTGGCAGTCTTTAGGAAGAACTTGAAGCCTTGGTTATTCCAATGTGCCTTTCCAGAATAGGATAACCTCCAGCACTACGTCCCAGAAGCACTTTATTAGAGTTTAAGACTCTCTGCACATTGCACTTGCCCAGAATTCCAACATACCACCTCACACACCCAGCACTTTTTAACCTGTACCCATCATTGGCCTGGCCCTGATTTTATTGTGTAATAGTGTAATGTTTCGTTGTGTTATTGCTTATGTTTTTAATTTGCTTTGCATCGTATTGTTATTGTTTGTTGTTGTTGTGTCGAGGCCTTGGCCTTTGTAAGCCGCATCGAGTCCTTCGGGAGATGCTAGCGGGGTACAAATAAAGTTTAATAATAATAATAATAATAATAATAATAATAATAATAGGCAAGGGCTGGATGGCCATCTGTCGGGAGGGCTTGGATGGTTGGACTGGGGGTGGGACTGGATGGCAAATCATAGAAAACCGCTTTGTTTGGTTATGAAGGGCAGTTTCCGGGCAAGCAAAGAAATCCACAAAGCCGAGCCTTCAAAGCATAGTAGCCCAAAGGGTGCTTGTCTTCTGACAAAGGAGAAGCCAAGGGGTTGGCTAGATAGCCTTTGAGGGGGCCCTCCTTTGAACATTTGTGGTGTTAGGCAACGAGGCCGAGATCACAAGGCATGGGGACTTGGCCAAGCTTTTGAGGGGACCAGAGAGAGAAGGAAGGTGGAAGAAAGGGGTGCGGAGAGGAAGACCTTGTTTCTCGAGGCAGATACTGCATTGGGTGAGTGTTCCCGTAGTTAAGAGGCACACGGCGGGAGGAGCTAAGTGAGCGGGGGTGAGGAGATGAATAATGCTTGGGGATGCGCTTATGAATCAGAAGAGAAAGCAGCCGGGAAGAAGAAGAGCGAGTGGGCGTTTCAACAACCGGAGGCAGAGAGAGAATGACAGGGAGGAGGAGGAGGAGGAGGAAGAACCGGCAAATGGGGAGGGGGCCACCAGGAGGAAAACGGCTCAGCTCCAATACATGCATCCCTCCCCAATGCGGGTGCAGCCTCCACTTCTTCTCAGCTGACCCGAGTCCTAAAATATGCCCACAAATGCACAACATTGTGGCTTTCCAGCTGTCAGGATCCTTGATCATCGGACAAGGTGGAAAGACGGGCGCCTGGGACCTGGAGGCCCAAACGCCTGGACCATTTACTGCCCCATTACAGTTTGTCTCACTGATAAGTCCAAAGTTTGGCTTCAAAAGAACACTTTGGGCATCATGGAGCTGTGCCTCATTTCATAACCCAGCACTGTGTTTGGTCAGAGGGAAAGGAAACAGGGAAGGGGAGGGAAGGGGGAAAGGGAGGGAGGAAAAGAAGGAAGGAAAGAAGAAGGAGGAGGAAACAAGGAAGGAAGGGGATGAAGGGAGGAGTAGAGAGGAAGGAAGGAGCGAGGGAAAAAGGAAGGAGGAAGGGGAGGGAGGAGAAAAGGTGAAGGGAGGAGGGAGGAAAGAGAAAGAAAGGAGGAGGGGAGGGAGGGAGGGAGGAGGGGGGAGGAGAAAAGGAAAGGAAGGGGAGGGGAGAGGGAGAGAGGAAAGGGAAGGAAGGAAAGAAGAAAAGAAGGGAGGAGGGAACTGTTGTGACTCAGCTTGACTCTGAGTCTGAAGCTGAGCTGTTTGGGCCTCCTGAGCCTGATTTTGGGCCTTCTGAGCCTGACTTCCTGCAGGATGACAAGGAGACTGATGGTTTACAGATTCCTGTACATGTTTCAGACAGGGCTGATAGTGTGGCTGCTGAAGGAGAAACAACAAGTCAGTTCCTTGGGGAAAGGAATGTTCCTGCAGTTAGAGAGACTGATAGCAAGAGTGAAATCCCACACGGCCAGGTGCAGGATCCGTCCCAGCTGGACTCAGATAAGGGGTTGCATAGCCTTGCAGATAATGAATTAATGAGCAGACAAGATTGGAGAAGCACTCGCTTGGCCAGCAAGCGAGAAGCCAAATGTTCCCAAGGTCAACGCAATGCTTTCATGTACGCAAAGGGTATTTAGTCTTGTAGCGGATAGGCAGTTGTTGTCAGTCCAACATTGCTCTTCCCATGTTAACTTCTGGAGATTTTCCTTGGCTTTTTGCAGCACACTTCTGGCTTCCTGAGTCTGGGATTTGGGTCTTGTTTTCAACTGTTTATCATGGACTTTTGTTTGACCATAGCTAAGGGATTATGCTTCATGTTTTTGCCTTTGGTTCTTGGGAATTTTGCCTTTACATTTAAATCACTGTTTTGCCTATGGAACTATTGCATTTCTATTTCTTTATTTTGATTTTGCTTTTCTGAATAAACTACAAAAACCTACAGCCTTGGTGTGGTGGTGTCTGGAGCAAGGTGAATACTATCCTGAGTTGCAACAGGAACAAAGGGAGGAATGGGAAGGGGGGAAACAAAGGAAGAAAGGAAGGAAGGAAGGAGAGAGTGAGGGAGGGAATGGAGGGAGGAAAGAAGGTAGGTAGGAAGGGAGGGAAATGAGGGAGGAAAGAGTGGAATGGAGGAGGGAAAGAAGGAGGGAAGGAAAGAAGAACAGAAGGGAGGAGTGAAGGAAGGAGGGAACAAAGGGAGTGAGGGGAAGGAAGGCAGAAGGGAGGGAGGAAAGGAAGGTACAAAGAAAAGGAAGAAGAGAGGACAGAAGGAAGAAAAAAGGAAGAGAGGGAGGGAAAGGAGGGAGGGAAAGGAAAGAGAAGGGGAGGGAAGGGTGGGAGGAACAGAGGCTGGATGGCCATCTGTCAGGGGTGATTTGAATGCAATATTCCTGCTTCTTGGCAGGGGGTTGGACTGGATGGCCCATGAGGTCTCTTCCAACTCTTTGATTCTATGATTCTATGAAGGGAGAGGCAAAGGAAGAAAGGGAGGGAAGAAAGAAGGAAAGAAAACAAGAGGGAAGGGAAGGTAGAGAGGAAAGGGGAGGAAAGGGTGGAAGGGAAAGAGGAGGGAAGGTGGGAAATAAGGGAGGAAGAAAAGAAAGAAAGGAGGGGAGGGAGGATGGGGGAAGGGAAAAAGAAAAGAAAGAGGGAAGGGAGGGAAGGGGAGGGAGGGTGGAAGGGAGGGAAAGCAGGAAGGAAAGTAAGGGAATGAAGGATGGAAAGGGGGAAGGGATGGAAGGAGGAGGGGGAAGGAAGAAAGGAAAGAAGGGGGAAGGAAGGGAAGGGGAGAGAAGGAAAGGAGAGAAGAGGGAAGGAAGGAAAGAAAGGAGAGAGGAGGAGCAAGGGAAGGGAAGGGAAGGGAGTTATGAAGGAAGAAGGGCGGAAGTAAAAAGTCAGGAGGGTCGGAAGGAGAGAGGGAGGGAAGGAAGGAAGGAAGGAAGGAAGGAGGGAAGGAAGAAAGGAAGGAAGGAAGGAAGAGGGAAGGGAGGAGGCAGGAAAGAAAGAGGGGAGGGAAAGAAGGGAGGAAGAGAAAGAAAGCAGACAAGCACGGCGCTACTCACGGAATCACTGCTGCTTGCAGGTGGAGAGCTTGCGGATCTTGCTTCCAGCAGAGGAGGCAGTGGCAGCAGAGGCGGCCTTGCGGGGCGGATTGGAGGTGGCAGACTTGCTGTCCCTGCGCTCAGTCTTAGCCTTGTTGCCCGGCGGCCCAGTCTCGGTCCCGTTCATGCAGAGGGGCTTGGGCAGCAGCATTCCTCCTCCTCCTCGGTGTCGGCTCTGTCCATTCTGCTGGGCCTCCTGGTCAGGCACCTGCCCTAGAAAGGGGGCCAGAAACATCATTGCTAGGGTGATAGGGAAGCACTAACAGGGAGCCCTCTGGGCATCCGCAGAGGGCCTTCTCCCCTTTAAGGGCATCAACAAGGGAGGCAGGCGGGGGGAACCACTGAAAGTGCTGCTTTAAGTGGCAGTACTCTATTCTGGTGAGGAGAAACACCGGGGATAGGCTTCCTGATTCCATGATTCAGCAAGGATATTCTCATCTCTTCTGCTCTGGTCAGACCTCACTTGGAATCGTATTTCCAAGAAGGCCACTGACAAAACCTCTGGAGGTTTTGAAGCAGAGGTTGAATGGATGGCCATCTGTCCAGGGTGCTCTGATCAGCTCTTCCTGCATGGTAGAATTGGACTGGATGGCCCCTTGGGGTCTCTTCCAGTTCTATCTCGCTATCCATTTTAGGGGATTGGCCGGAGTGGTCCTTGGGGTCTCTCCAGCTCTAGGATTCCAATACGCTCATCTATGTGTCTCTCGGTTTCAAGCTGTAATTTTTTATAATTCAATTAAAATGTAATTTTAATTATTTCTTAAAATAATTTTTAATTAAAATATTTCAATTATTTATTGAAACAAATAAATAAATATGTATAAAATATAAAATATTGAAATATATTAAAATGAATTATTGATTAAAGAATCAATGTTCAACTCGGACACAAGTTGGGAATTTTTTAATCAAGGAGAGGCAGAAGTAAGCAGAGGAGCCAGAATGAGTCAAAGTGTACAAAGGCTCCCTTGATGGTTTCCCTTCCCATATGATCCTTTCAGCTTCTAAGATCAGATACTTAGTCCACATCCCAGTACTACAGGATATTTGATTATTCCCATGACTGTTTATGCCAATAGATGTTCCTCTGTCTTAGAGCCTGCTTAGCTCAGCAAACGGGGGGGGGGGGGGGGTCTGCACACGATGCAAAATCAATGCCTCAAAAGCCCTGCTTAGCGTCACAACAACCTCCCTCCTCCTCATCTCCACAAACCAATTTCCGCCCAGCGCAGAACGAACACTCACGACGCTCTGCCATTGCTAGGCCTTTTCAAGCTGAATGAGTCAGACTCACGAAAGGGAGGGCGGCAAATTGATGGTGCCCCTTTCTTGCCGGAGGAGGCCCGATCCTCTCTCCTGGCATCATGGAAATTCCCAGCATCATATATACACCCCTCCAAGTGACCAATGCACAAAGAACTAGAAACATGACACAGTGATCCCGGTTTCCATTCCTCCGCAATGGCAGGTGGGCAGAGGGAGAGCAGAAAGGATTTGCTTGCAAGCAGGTTCATTGCCCACCTGTTGGGCTGCATGTGCTTCGAATGCCAAGGTGCTCAGAGGAGAAAGACAAGAAAAAAATCCCAGGTTCCTCCCATTCACAAGAAACACCAGGAACACAGTCCTGCATGGCCTGCTTTGATTTTTATACGCAACCATAGTAAATCTCTTTTAGCTCTCACATGGGAATAATGACTCAGAGGACAACATATCTCCCGCTACGTCGACAGTGGTTCTCAACCTGGGGTCCCCAGATGTTTTTGCCCTACAACTCCCAGAAATCCCAGCCAGTTTACCAGCTGTTAGGATTTCTACTAAGGAGGCTGTCGAGGTCCTGAACCGGTGCCTGGTCGCTGTAAATGGTCTGGATGAGGGCGAACAAATTGAAATTGAATCCAAACAAGACAGAGGTACTCCTGGTCAGTCGTAAGGCCGAACAGGGTATAGGGTTACAGCCTGTGCTGGATGGGGTCGCACTCCCCTTGAAGGCGCAGGTTCGCAGCTTGGGTGTGATCCTGGATTCATCGTTGAGCCTGGACCCCCAGGTTTCAGCGGTGACCAGGGGAGCATTTGCACAGCTCAGGCTCGTGCGCCAGCTGCGCCCGTACCTTGGGAAGTCTGACTTGGCCACGGTAGTACACGCTCTGGTCACATCCCGCCTTGACTACTGCAACGCTCTCTACGTGGGGCTGCCCTTGAAGACGGCCCGGAAGCTTCAGCTAGTCCAGCGCGCGGCAGCCATGTTACTAACAGGAGCGGGACGCAGGGAGCACACAACGCCCTTGTTGTTCCAGCTCCACTGGCTGCCGATTTGCTACCGGGCCCAATTCAAGGTGCTGGTGTTATACAAAGCCCTAAACGGTTCCGGCCCAAAATACCTTTCTGACCGCATCTCGGCCTATGAGCCCACGAGGACCTTGAGATCGTCTGGGGAGGCCCTTCTCTCGATCCCGCCTGCCTCACAGGCACGCCTGGCGGGGACGAGGGATAGGGCCTTCTCGGTGGTGGCCCCCCGGCTGTGGAACACCCTCCCTGTAGACATCAGACAGGCGCCCTCCCTTATGACATTCCGCAAGAGACTAAAGACGTGGTTGTTTGAGAAGGCGTTTGACTAAGTGCTACAACAATTGGCAATGATGATTGGAACGGAATATGGATAACGAGATTGGATTGTGATTCTATGATGAGACGTCGCGAATGATTTAGTGTAATTGTATTATTGATAGTGATGTTGTTATTGTTGTTTGTGATATTGCCTTTATTGTAATTTTTTTATATGTTGTACACCGCCGTGAGTCGCCCTAGGGCTGAGAACGGCGGTCTACAAATGCAGTAAAATAAATAAATTTCTGGGAGTTGAAGGCTAAAAACATCTGGGGACCCCAGGTTGAGAACCACTGCGCTACGATCCACCTAGGGCCCTAAGATCATCTGAGGAGACCCTGCTCATTGTCCCCCCATTGTCACAATTGCGTCTGGCGGGGACAAGGGACAGGGCCTTGTCTGTGGTGCCCCCCCCCCCCCCGGCTACGGAACTCCCTCCCGAGTGAAATTAGATCTGCTGCATCCCTTTTGACCTTCTGGAAACAAGTAAAATCCTGGCTATGGGATCAGGCCTTTGGAGAATAAGCTGACCTACTGACGTGTTGACTTATTTAGAACTGATGGACTGCCCTTGGATAATGATTTAATTCGGTGACCACTGACTATTGTCTATTTTTATATTGTTTATACGGTTTTCTGCTGTTTATATTGCTGTTACTATTACATTGCTGTTAATTGTATATTTATGAGCGCCATGGGGTGCCACTTTGTTAGCCGTCCTGAGTCCCTCTGCGGAGGTTGAGAAAGGACGGGATATAAAAGCTCTAAATAATAATAATAGTAATAACAACAACAACAACATTTATTATGGTTAATAGACCTATCAGTAAAACCAACAGTCATTATAAATTATGCCATCTCAGGAGAAGTCCATTGTACAAGATATATCTACATGGTTTCAAGTAATACCTCTATTGGAAGTTAGCTGCTTTCTCAGCCTTGTTGCCACTGCAACAATTTTGCCACTATGAGATTCAATGTGAGGCACTTGTCCTCTCAAAGATATTTAACAATCCTCTGCGAGGGATGGCTGGTCACGCGGGGCGGGATTGGATATAAAAGTTGGTTAAGTTTATTTATTTATTTATTTATTTTATTAATCAATTTTATATACCGCCACTCCCCGAAGGAGGGCGACTAAAATGATCAAGGGTCTGGAGAACAAGCCCTATGAGGAGCGGCTTAAGGAGCTGGGCATGTTTAGCCTGAAGAAGAGAAGGCTGAGAGGAGATCTGATAGCCATGTATAAATATGTGAGAGGAAGCCACAGGGAGGAGGAAGCAAGCTTGTTTTCTGCTTCCTTGGAGACTAGGACGTGGAACAATGGCTTCAAACTACAAGAGAGGAGATTCCATCTGAACATGAGGAAGAACTTCCTGACTGTGAGAACTGTTCAGCAGTGGAACTCTCTGCCCCGGAGTGTGGTGGAGGCTCCTTCTTTGGAAGCTTTTAAACAGAGGCTGGATGGCCATCTGTCAGGGGTGATTTGAATGCAATATTCCTGCTTCTTGGTAGGGGGTTGGACTGGATGGCCCATGAGGTCTCATCCAACTCTTTGATTCTATGATTCCATGAAATACGTCTAATCTTGTCTTTGTAAAGAGTCTGTGATATTTAGTCACTGTAAGGCTTTTTAGGTATTTGCATGTCTTAAATGATTCTCTGTATGGTAAATTTAGGACTCTGGGGGAGCATGGTGAATTTGAGTGGGCTTAGCTCTCCCAGGGCAATGTCCCGCAACCTTTGCTTCAAGGATTCTTGCACCACTTTGAGCAGAAGGGGTGCGGATGGTCCAATTGAGGCTGCTTTTCGTTCAGTCCTCCACACTCAAAGGGGTTTGGAGGTTTCATAAGTGACGGAACAACGGGCCCCAAAACCAGCAACAGAATGATAACACCATTGTCCCTCCACTTCTGTGGATTTGACAGTTTGCGGATTCGTCCCAAACATGCTTCCTAGGAATCTTTTGGTGCGATTGTATGGTCTATGATGGGATGAGTGAGGAAAGCCCAAAATGTGTCTACCTACCAACACATTTCTTCCTGCCTCGATGATTTAACTTTGAATGATTGAGTCTCTGGGTTGTCAAAAGAAATCTCATTAACATCTGAAAAAAACTACTTCCTCCCCAACTAGCACAACTACCATTTCAGATAGGTTGGGTGCACAGTTTCTCTTATTATTAATTTACAACTTTGGGACTACATGAACAGAATATTCCTATAAAAGACTCAGTCTAATAATGCTCAAATTGTGACCGACCTGAGGAGTCTGGTTCACCCGCTATGCTCTGCTCCATGGGAAGGAGAGAGATAGTGTACCTATGGATAGTGGCAGATCTGCAAGGGAGCAGTCTGGTCACTTTTGGGCTTCTTTCTCAAGGGAAGAGGAAGAAGTGCGCTTTTGGAGTCTTAGATTTTGTGCAGAGAGTCAGGTTCTACTGTATGAAAAACAGAGATCTGGTCCTTGGCATTGTGCTTAGGGAAGAAGTTTTGGCATTTCAGCGTTTTGAAGTTTTGGCATTATGGAAGTTTTGGAACTACGAATTGGCAGGTTGCAGGAAAGCAAGTTCTGGCCTAACAGGTGCTTCTCCAAGGAGGGAGAAAACA